GAAGTCATACAATGTAAAAAGCCTCAATGGCAGCAAATTAACATATAGAAATAAAGGTTCAAAAGATGTCCAAGTGGCACTTTTTTGCTGTTTTTTTTTGTTTGTTTGTTTGTTTTTTGAGATGGAGTTTCGCTCTTGTTACCCAGGCTGGAGTGCAATGGCGCGATCTCGGCTCACCGCAACCTCCGCCTCCTGGGTTCAGGCAATTCTCCTGCCTCAGCCTCCTGAGTAGCTGGGATTACAGGCACGTGCCGCCATGCCCAGCTAATTTTTTGTATGTTTAGTAGAGACGGGGTTTCACCGTGTTGACCAGGATGGTCTCGATCTGTTGACCTCGTGATCCACCCGCCTCAGCCTCCCAAAGTGCTGGGATTACAGGCTTGAGCCACCGCGCCCGGCTACTGCTGTTTTTTTTTTTTTTGAGACGGAGTCTTGCTCTGTCGCCAGGCTGGAGTGCAGTGGCGCAATCTTGGCTCACTGCAACCTCCACCTCCTGGGTTCAAGTGATTCTTCCGCCTCAGCCTCCCGAGTAGCTGGGAACACAGGCGCGTGCCACCACACCTGGCTGATTTTTGTATTTTTAGTAGAGATGGGGTTTCACCATGTGGGCCAGGATGGTCTGGATCTCTTGACCTCGTGATCTGCCCGCGTCTGCCTCCCAAAGTGCTGGGATTACAGGCGTAAGCCACCGCTCCTGGCCTGTTGGTTTGTTTTTGAGTCTGAGTCTTGTTCTGCTGCCCAGGCTGGAGTGTGGTGGCTGGTCTTGGCTCACTGCAACCTGTGCCTCCCTGGTTCATCAAGCGACTCTCCTGCCTCAGCCTCCTAAGTAGCTGGGATTACAGCGTGTGCCACCATACCCAGCTAATTTTTCATTTTTAGTAGAGATGGGGTTTCACCATGTTGGTCAGGTTGGTCTCAAACTCCTGTTCTCAGGTCTTCCACCTGCTTCAGCCTCCCAAAGTGCTGGGATTACAGGGGTGAGCCACTGTGCCGGATTTAAGTGGCACTTTTTTTTTTTTGAGACAGAGTTTCACTCTTGTTACCCAGGATGGAGTGCAATGGTGCGATCTTGGCTCACCACAGCCTCCGCCTCCTGGGTTCAGGCAATTCTCCTGCCTCAGCCTCCTGAGTAGCTGGGATTACAGGCACGTGCCACCATGCCCAGCTAATTTTTTGTATTTTTAGTAGAGGTGGGGTTTCACCATGTTGACCAGGATGGTCTTGATCTCTTGACCTCGTGATCCACCCGCCTTGGCCTCCCAAAGTGCTGGGATTACAGGCTTGAGCCACCATGCCCGGCCTATTTTTTTTTTGAGATGGAGTTTTGCTCTTGTCGCCCAGGCTGGAGTCCAATAGCTCAATCTCAGCTCACGACAACGTCTGCTTCCTGGGTTCAAGTGATTCTCCTGTCTCAGCCTCCCGAGTAGCTGGGATTACAGGCATGCACCATCACGCCTGGCTAATTTTGTATTTTTTTTTAGTAGAGACGGGGTTTCTCTATGTTGCCCAGGCTGGTCTCGAACTCCCAACCTCAGGTGATCCGCCCACCTCGGCCTCCCAAAGTGCTGGGATTACAGGCATGAGCCACCACACCTGGCCCCGAGTGGCACTTTTAAGAGACCACCTTCATTAGTAGACAACTGAAAAGAACTTACATTGAAAAATGCGTCAAACTGGTATCCAGATTGTGTTTTCTGTAAAGCTACAACTTACTGTCCAATACTAAGCTTACTCCTGTCATCTGGGAGAAAAAATACCAGAGTTGGTTATAAAAATGTCTCTATCTATAACTTGGAGTAGAGGACTCTCTCCAGAGGAGCCAAGCTAAGAACATGAAAACCAAATACAGGATTTTTCTTTTCCAATTCATTTTAGTGTCGGCACTTTCTTTTTCTTTTCGTTTTTTTTTTTTTTTGACAGTCTCACTCTCTCGCCCACTCTGGAGTGCAATGGTATGATCTCAGTTCACTGCAACCTCCACCTTCCAAGTTCAAACAATTCTCCTGCCTCAGCCTCCCAAGGTACTGGGATTACAGGTACCCACCACCAAACCCAGCTAATTTTTTATATATATATATTTTTTTTAGTAGAGATGAGGTTTTGCCATGTTGGCCAGGCTGGTCTTGAACTCCTGACTTCAGGTGATCCACCAGCCTCAACCTCCCAAAGTGCTGGGATTACAGGCATGAGCCACCACCCCTGGCCAGTGTCTGCACTTTCTAAGGGAGTGAAGTTTTAAAAAATCTTATGGATCCACTGCATTATTCAGATACTCACTTCCAAAAATAATTACACCTGCCTTATTAAAACACATATTTGGGCTGGGCACAGTGGCTCACACCTGTAATCCCAGCACTTTGGGAGGCCGAGGTGGGTGGATCACAAGGTCAGGAGTTTGAGACCAGCCTGGCCCAACATGGTGAAACCCCATGTCTACTAAAGATACAAAAAAAATTAGCCAGGTGTGGTGGCACATGCCTGTAATCACAACTACTCAGGAGGCTGAGGCAGGAGAACTGACTGAACCCAGGAGGTAGAGGTTGCAGTGAGCCAAGATCATGCCATTGCAGTCCAGCCTGATGACAGAGCAAGGCTCTGTCTCAAAACAAAACAAAACATCACAAAAACACATATTTATCCTAAGCCAACTACCCCCAATTAACTGATTTTTTTATACATCTTTTTGCCCTTTTTCTTTTATTGTTATATACCTATAATATATATATAATATATAAAATATATATTTTATATATAATATATATTTTATATATAAAATATATATTATATATATAATATATATATATAATATACATATATTTCTTCAAATGGAGTCTCGCTCTGGAGTACAGTGGTGCAATCTCAGCTCACTGTAATCTCCACCTCCCAGATTCAAGCCATTCTCTTGTCTCTGCTTCCTGAGTAGCTAGGATTACAGTCACCCAACACCATGCCCGGCTAGTTTTTTCATATTTTTAGTAGAGACGGGGTTTTACCATATTGGCCAGGCTGGTCTCAAACTCCTGACCTCAGGTGAACCACATGCCTTGGCCTCCAAAAGTGCTGGGATTACAGGCATGAGCCACCGTACCCAGCCTGTGTTAAATATATTTAAAAGGCAAGGGCATTCTGTATACATTATTAGAATACCTCTGCAATTTGTACCCAACTTTATATTCTTTTACATTTTGATCATTACCTGTTAGGAGAAAACCCTCCTTCCCACCTCCACTGTCCATCAGATAATCTCCCCATCAAATTAAAATAAGTAAGAATACTTTTAAAAGCTGAAGTGCAGCAACATTCCAAAATAATAAAAACATGTTAAGAAAAGCAAATCGGCTGGGCGCGGTGGCTCAAGCCTGTAATCCCAGCACTTTGGGAGGCCGAGGCGGGTGGATCACGAGGTCAAGAGATCGAGACCATCCTGGTCAACAAGGTGAAACCCCGTCTCTACTAAAAATACAAAAAATTAGCTGGGCATGGTGGTGCGTGCCTGTAATCCCAGCTACTCAGGAGGCTGAGGCAGGAGAATTGCCTGAACCCAGGAGGCGGAGGTTGCGGTGAGCCGAGATCGCGCCATTGCACTCCAGCCTGGGTAACAAGAGCGAAACTCCGTCTCAAAAAAAAAAAAAAAAAAAGAAAGAAAGAAAGAAAAGCAAATAAATAAGGAAAGCGTCACTATCTTACTTTCAATACATTTTAAACCAGAACAGAAGCACTCATGGTTCCAAACAGCACTCATCTGTCATCATACAGCGCTTTTACTGTCAAAACACTTTCACATCTATTATTTCATTCTAGCCTCACTAGGGATCATTAACTCTATAGGCTCCTCTACCAATCTCCACTATGCAAACTTTCTTACCCTTTGCTGGTCAACTTTTCCTCCTCTTCCATTACAGTACTGATTTTCTCATTCTGTTTTCTAGGTTAAACAGAGGACCCAAAAGTACTTAACAACCCCTTTAAAGACACCCAGGGGATAAAAGGTGTTGACTTAGGAAGCACGTAACTGGCTATGAACATGAGGTCCAAGACGACACTGTTAACAAAACACTTGTAGAACAGTGTTATCCAAAAGAATGTTCTATGATGATGGAAATGTTCTGTCTCTACTAATAGGGTAGCCACAGGCTTCACTGAGTGCTTAAAATGAGTCTGGTATACACCTAAAAAATTGAATTTAAAATTTTATTTAATCTCAATTAATTTCGATTTACTAAGCCACATGTGGTTACTAGCACAGTTCTAGAGACTTCTGACAAACCTCTTGTGGTATTAGTGACGATGTACATACCTTTATTATCAGTATAAATAATATGATATGCTATAGGATGTTTTACTGGAATTTCTTCAAGAGTGGGACCATCATTCTCATTCAGTGTGATATATTTGGAAATGCCCTTGTTTTTCTTAGGGTTAAATAATGGTAGGTGGAGCAGAACACTCATGGCATGTTTTTTGACTCTGCTTGAATAGACCGCACAAATTTGAGCCACCAAAAGATACTCCCTCAGATCCAGACTCGCCACCCAGATTTATAATATAGGGTTTCTTCTAGATACCTTTTTTCCTTCTTTCCCACCAGTATTCATTGCCTAAGGCAGTAAAGAACATAAATCTTAAGCATTTAAACCCTCAAATATAAGGCTTCCTGATCATAACCAAACAAGTAGGTAACCCATGGACCTTCATCTTCCCTTCTCTCATAAGGTACTCGTTTCCCCAGGCAGATTAACTTCCAACAGCACTCAAAAGATTGCAAGAATCCTGCAGGATAAAGTAACCTACAATTTGTGTTCCTATGTCCTAGCAAACCTAAAATGGGGAAGTGTTTGCTTCCCCAGGAGTAAATTATGCTGAACGGAGGTAAACATCATCTGTTATTTCCAGCTAAAACATAATGGAAGAAACCACCCTGCCACTCCCATAGTCTTGTGTTCTTGCCTGTCTCGAGCTATACCCACCCGGCTCTACTACCCAGGCCCAGAGCAATTCACCTTGAAACTCTGTGTTGTCAAGGCCCCTGATGGCCTCCACTGCATCCTCTGCCCGCTCCATGTGTACGAAGGCATAATCTTTCACGATGTCACATTCGATGACCGGACCATACTCCTCAAACTTGGTTCGAAGCTCTTGGTTGGTACAAGTTGGGCTGATGTTACCCACGTGCAACTTGGTTGAAGCTTTGCTCTTATTCTTGCTGGCTTCAACGTTGATGTTCACCCCATGAAGTTTGTAATGGTGCAGGTTGCGTATGGCATCTTCCGCTGCGGTTTTGTCTTCTATGTGCACAAAGCCGTAATTCTTAATGATGTCACATTCCAGCACCTTCCCATACTGCTCGAAAAGAGAGCGGATCTCCTGCTCTGTGGCCTCCCGGGGCAGGTTTCCGATGAACAGCTTCACCATCCTGACAAGAGCCTGGGAGAGAAAAACAAGATTTCAAAAGTCAGGGGTGTGGTGGGAAATTTCGGTGCACTGCAGCATTTTCGTCTACTCCTCCAAAGTTCTTGCACCTTAAGGACCCTCACATAGACGTTCGCTATTCTTCCTCAATAGAGGGAGGGCGGTTTGTTCTTGAGGAGTGCGAGCTGTGTGTGACATGCAAACAGCACGTCGAGGGTCAGCATGCATAGGGCAGTCTATCATCTCCGTGAAATGGAGCGTAAATACCAGAATAAGCTGTTCCATGTCTTAAAATGAGGAAAGAGAAACGCCCAAGCAAAAGCAAGGAACATCTATCGCAGTGCGCCTGCTAATAAGGTTTTGGAGGGAAATCTATGTGCCTCTCCTACGTGCGCTAGCACCTTTTAAGATACCCTAAAAAGAAAGAAGTCCCCTCTTCCCCCAAACCGGGACCAATTACCCGCCCCCCAGCGGCCAACTCTCCAGTTCCTTCGCCCCAACAAAGACTCGACCCGACCCCTGCCCCGCCTCCTTCCGGAGACCCGGCCCCGCCTCCTCCCGTTGTCTTCCCGGACTTCCCGCAGCAAAATGTGAAAACCAAATCCGGACCATGCTGTCTCCCGGAGGTCTGGCCCAGCCCCCCAGGCTCCCCACATCACACACCAAAGAACCCCTCGCACCTCCGGGTGGCGGCGGTGGCGGCAGCGGCTCCCGCGTCAGAGCGAACCCTACAAAATGGCGACGGCCGCTCGAGCCTCGACGCTACCGGGCCCTTTCTCGCGCGCCAGCTCACGCACGCGCGAGTGCTCACTGCTTCCTCCTTTAACCTCGCGGGATCCCAGTGGCCAATCCTGAAGCTCCATACAAATGACCGCGTAGCATGGGGGCGGGGCCTGCTGGTGGCCTTGCTGCTGTGCGGAGGTCAGCCCGCCCTCAGCCCCAGCCAGCCAATCACTACCTTGGAAGTGGTCGCCGCTCCTGCGTCAGAAGAGCTCTGGACGCCACCACTGCCTGGAGTAGTGGAGGCCCGGGGGAGTCACTCGCCGTCACAATGGGTCGCGTTATTGGGCCCTCTGAGGGGGCGGGGTGCTGATGACAAAGGGTAATCTCTCCAAGTGCCCTAAGAAGGGGCTTTCGTAGCCGGCCGGCCTCTGTGGCAGCTTGGGGCAACATTTCAGAAATGCAGGCGCGCCACATATTAAGCAGAACTAGTCATTGTTTCGTAGAGCTTTAAACACTAAAGTTTTTATTGCAGACGCGTTATTTATTGGTACGGAAACTGAGAACCAAGGGACGGAAAGATAACCTGGCATTGCTACTCAGGCTACGCTTAGTCATGTTTTGTCTGCTCATGAGTCCGGGTGGGCTGGCTCGCTCTCATTGTGTGTCCGTCACAGTCCTGGTCTGTGGTGAGCACAGTAGAGGAATAGTTGATGGAGAGGCCCAGGGAGGTCCCCGTTTTGGGGTGGGACAGGGTCTCCTTGTCCACACCAAGCTGGAAATCTATGTAACGGTGAGTTTCCCGACACACTCGCGCATTCAAAATTCAGCTGTTGTCCAAGGGCACCTCCTGGCGGTAAAAAGTTTAGATGGGCCGGGTGCGGTGCCTCAACGACTGTAACCCCAGCACTTCGGGAGGCCGAGGTGGGCGGATCACGAGGTCAGGAGTTCAAGACCAGCTTGGCCAACATGGTGAAACCCCCGCCACTACTAAACATACGAAAATTAGTCGGGCGTCGTGGCGTGCGCCTGTAAGCTCAGCCACTTGGGAGTCTGAGGCAGGAGAATCGTTGGAACCCAGGAGGCGGAGGTTGCAGTGAGCCGAGATCGCGCCACTGCGCTCCAGCCTGCGTGACGGAGCGAGACGCCATATCGAAAAAAAAAAAAAAAGAAAGAAAAAGGCTTAGGCAGATTCCCCACTGTCACCCTCCAACAAAGCATAGCAGTTTATGGAGATTGATGAATTGGGTTTATCGCCTAGTAGAGCCTGCCAGAGAGATTGTCAGTCACCATTCCCCATTGTAGTGGCTCCGTAACGGCTTCTCTAATATTATCAGGCACACATTCCCCAGGCTGCCCTCTTCCACCCCAGCTACTTGAATATGTTCTTTCCCTGAGTTCTTTTTGTTTCTCAGCCATTTCAGAAGAGGCACTGTCCTTCCAATTTTATTTTATTGTATTGTATTTTTTATTTAATTTTTTAAAAGACAGAGTCTTGCTGTGTCATCCAGGCTGGAGGGCAGTGGGGAGATCTCAGCTTACGGTAATGTGCAACTCCCAGGTTCAAGCCATTTTCCTGCTTCAGCTTCCCAAGTAGCTGGGACTCCAGGCATGCACCACCACACTCGGCTAATTTTTGTATTTTTAGTAGAGATGGGGTTCCACCATGTTGGCCAGGCTGGTGTCGAACTCCTGACCTCAAGTGATCCACCTGACTTGGCATCTCACAGCGCAGGGATTACAGCCACTGTGCCTGGTCCTTAACTATTATTTTTGAGTCAGAGTGTCACTTTGTCACCCAGGCTGGAGTGCAGTGACACCATTATGGCTCACTGTAGCCTCGACTTCCTGGGCGCAAGTAATCCACCTCAGCCTCTGGAGCAGCTGGGACCACAGGCATGGGACACACATCCAGCTACTTAAAAAAATTTTTTTGTAGAGATGGGGGTGTCTCATTATGTTGCCAGACTGGTCTCAAACTTCTGGGCTCAAGATGTTTCCACTTTAGCCTCACAAAATGCTGGGATTACAGGTGTGAGCCACTGCACCTGGCTTACTATGTGTTTTGAATTTAAAATAGCACTATCCTAAGTTAGTATCATCTAATGTTTATGCTCAAATTTCTCCTGGATTGTTACAAATGTCTTTTTACAGTTGATTTCTTCTAATCTGGACTTAAACATGGCATATTTGCATAAATTATGTAAATAGTGTTTTTTGAGTTGTATAGCTCATTGTGCCTTACTGTTTTTCCACTAAGGGCTATGTTGCTTCATGATAGCTAACTAGTGAGTAATGCAGTACTCCGTGGTGTACAATCACATATTGTACCTGTTCATCTCTGGGCATAGGGCGCTCAGGTTGCTTCCAGCCCTCTGTCATTATAAATAAGGCTGCGGCCAGGTGCGGTGGCTCAAGCCTGTAATCCCAGCGCTTTGGGAGTTAGAGGCGGGCAGATCATGTGGTCAGGAATTTGAGACCAGCCTAGGCAACATGGTGAAACCTGGTCTCTACTAAAAATACAAAAATTAGCCGGGCACGGTGGAGGGTACCTGTAATCCCAGCTACGCAGGAGGCTGAGGCAGGAGAATCGCTTGAACCTGAGAGGTGGAAGATACAGTGAGCCGAGACCGTGCCATTGCACCCCAGCCTAGGTGACAGAGAGATACTCCGTCTCAAAATACGTAAGTAAATAGACAAGGCTGCAATGAACATGCTTAACTATGTGCCCTAATTCTGTTTGAGAATTTGGGGGGATATAAACCCAGAGGTGGAATTGCTGGGTCATAGAGTATATCTAGAACTCACCTGTCTAGGCTGGGTGCTGTGGCTCACACCAGTAATCCCAGCACTTTGGGATGCCAAGGTGGGCGGATCACAAGGTCAGGAGTTCCAGACCATCCTGGCCAACGTGATGAAATCCTGTCTCTACTAAAAATACAAAAATTATTTGGGTGTGGTGGCATGCGCCTGTAGTCCCAGATACTCAGGAGGCTGAGGCAGGAGAATTGCCTGAACCTAGGAGGCAGAGGTTGCAGTGAGCTGAAACCACGTCATTGCATTCCAGCTGGGGTGACAGAGAGAGACTTTGTCAAAAAAAAAAAAAAAAGAAAAGAAAGAAAAACAAGGAAAGAAAAGAAACCTATCTAAGTAGCACAAATTGTTCTCTGGAAAAGCCGCACCAGCATACTCTTCCACCTGCAGTACATGAGGGGCTTTGTATCTCTACATCCCTGCCAATGATTGACATACCACTTTTCTAATTTTTGTCAGTCTAATAGATATAAAGTGATATTTCATTGTTGCTTTAATTTTTATTTCTCTGATCACTAATGATTTTAAGCATCCCTTCTTGTTCTTTTTTTTTTTTTTTTTTTTTTTTTGAGATGGAGTCTTTTGTGATCTCAGCTCATTGCAACCTCCACTTCCTGAGTTCAAGCAATTCTTCTATCTCAGCCCCTGAGTAGCTGGGATTACAGGAGCACGTCACCATCCCTGGCTAATTTTTGTATTTTTAGTAGAGACAGGGTTTCACCATACTGGTCAGGCTGGTCTCGAACTCTTGACTTTAGGTGATCCACCCACCTCGGCCTCCCAAATTGCTGGGGTTACTTACAGGTATGAGCCACCATACCTGGCTTTTTTTTTTTTTTAGAAAAGGTCTTGGCTGGAGTGCAGTGACACAATCATAGCTTACTGCAGCCTTGAGCTCCTGGGCTCAAATGATCCTCCTGCTTCAGGATGCTGAAGCCCACAGCCCTCAGCCTCCCAAGTAGCTAAGATTATATGCCCAGCTAATTTTTTTGTTTGTTTGTTTTTGGTAGAGATGAGGTCTCACTATGTTGCCTGGGCTAGTCGTACACCTAGCCCCAAGGGATCCTCCCACTTTAGCCTTCCAGTATACTAGGGTTACGGGTGGCCTCTTGAATTTTCAAGTTTGTGCTTCTGTAAATTTCCTGTTCATATCTTTTGCCCATTGTTGTTTTCAGGTTGCAGGATCCTTTTTGTTGTTGATTTTTAGGGCTTTTTTTGTATATTCTAGATATTAATCTCTTACTGGTCTCAAATATCATATCTCATTCCACTAATTATTAACTTTGTCCATGGTGTCCCTCATTGAACAGAAATCCTTATTTTTTAGACAATGAAATTAATTTCTATCTTAAAGCTGTGCTTTTGAATTTTTTTTTTTTCTTTTAAATAGCCTGTTGCCCAGGAGTGCAGTGGGGTGTAATCATGGCTCACTACAGCCTCGATTTCTAGGGCTCAAGCAATCCTTCCTCCTCAGCCTCCCAAGTAGCTGGAACTACAGGTGGGTGCCACTATGCCCAACTAATTTTTAAATTTTTTTTCTGTAGAAATGGGTTTTGCTGTGTTGCCTAGGCTGGTCTTGAATTTCTGAGCTTGTGATCCTCCGTCTCAACTCCCAAAGTGCTGGGATTACAGGTATGAGCCACTGTACGTGGTTTGCTTTTGAACTTTTGTATAAGATGTTCTTTTGTAGCCCCCACTAGTCACGAGATATTACCCACATTTTACTCTATTATGTTTTTTTTTTTTTTTTGAGACGGAGTTTCACTGTTGTCACCTAGGCTGGAGTGCAGTGGTGTGATCTCAGCTCACTGCAACCTCCACCTCCCGGGTTCAAATGATTCTCCTGCCTCAGCTGGGACTACAGGTATGTGCCACCATGCCTGGCTAATTTTTGGATTCTTAGTAGAGATGGGATTTCACCATGTTGGCTAGGCTGGTCTCGACGTCCTGACCTAAGGTGATCTGCCTGTCTTGGCCTCCCAAAGTGCTGGGACCACAGGCATTAGCCACCTCGCCCAGCCTACTAACATTATTTTTTTTACCTTTTGCATTTAGATCTGGATCTCATTTAGAGCAGTGCTGTCCAATACAAATACAATGTAAGCTACATATGTAATTTTAAAATTTCCAGCAAGTACATGAAAAAAGTAAACAAAATAGTTGAAATTCACTTTAATGATACTTTTGAAACCCAATATATCTAAAATATTATTTCAACACATAATTAATATAAACATTAAGATATTTAAAGTTGTCGTCCTTTTCCATGCTTGACATCTGGTGTTTTACAGTCATGGCACACTTGGATTGGCTACATCTCAGTAGCCACTCATGGCTGGTGGCTGCGGCTTTGGACAGCATAGACCTAAAGTCCACTCTTGTAGGGAATGTTAAGTAAGAATGCAAATATATTTTTCTCTACGTAATTTTTTTTTTTGAGACAGTGTCTACTTTATTGCCCAAGCTAGAGTGCGGTGGCATGATCTTGGCTCACTGTAACCTCTGCTTCCCAGGTTCAAGAAGTTCTCCTGCCTCAGCCTCATAAGTGGCTGGGACTACTGTGCTGCCATGCCTGGCTCATTTTTGTAGAGAGGGGGTTTTACCATGTTGCCCAGGCTGGTCGTGAACTCATGAGCTCAAGTGACCCACTCACCTCAGCTTCCCAAAGCCCTGGGATTACAGGTGTGAGCCACCATGCCCGGCCATCCCGCTCCATTGATTTGTGGTGCCCTCATTCATTGTATTTTGTGCCTAACTTGTCTAATATCCCTCACCGCCCCATTCCATCCTGTTGTGTTTCCTGGAGCTTTTTCTTTCTTTTTCCTTTCTGCTCACAACCGGAGGTGTTTTCTGACTTAACTTCCTGACCCTAGGCTTACCTCCTTCTATGTTCTGTCCTTAAGGAATCGTGCTGTAAAGTGCTTCAGCTGCCTCCCGTATGCAGAGGCTGCTTCCTTCAGTCTCACCTCTGTTCACAATGCCTGCCTTCTGCAAGACTGCTTCAACTGGCTGCCCTATTTACACTTACATGTCACGTTAAAATGATCATTTCTCCATATACATTTCTAACATTTCCAATTATTGTTTCCCTTCAACCCCTCAGGCTTGCCACCTTTGAGTGCAAATACCTAGATTCCCCGAGCACTCGCCCCAAGGTATGACTGTCTCTTCAAACAGTGGAGATTTTATAGGTGTACATGAAGAGAAGATGCCTGTGTAGTGCTGATGGATTATTCCACTATTTCCATGACAGATTGTTCTAGTTACATGTATCCACCTGTTGGTTGTGGAACAGTAAATCTACCCATAGTAAGGGGGAGATTATCCTGCAGGTGCTCTGGTCTACTGGATGTCAATTTGGAGCCCACTCTGGGCTGTGCTATGTGGTTCTGGGCCTGCACACCCCCAACTCTTTGTCATGACTGATGATAGTCAGGCTCGTGGTCAATGACACTAAAGATGGGGCTGCTTTCCTGGTAAAACGGTTGTCTGTGTGTAGAGGAAACCATGGAAGAACACAGCTTTTCCTGTAGGAGGCCACCAAGGACTGGTCACTTCCATCAACATCTGGAGACAAACCCTGCCCTGAAACCTCCAACTGCCAAGCCAGAGACAAAAGAGAAGCCACCTGCTCCTTTCTAAGTACTTCACCAGATCTGGAAGATAGTCTCAGCTGGGCATGGTGGCTCATGCCTGTAATCCCAACAGTTTGAAAGGCCAAGGTGGGAGAATCACTTGGCCCCAGGAATTTGAGACCAGCCTGGACAACACAGTGAGACCCCTGTTTCTACAAAAAATAAAAAAAAATTAGTCAGGTTTGGTAGCATGTGCCTGTGGTTCAGGCTACTCAGGAGGCTAAGGTGGGAGGATTGCTTGAGCCCCAGAAATTCAGACTGCAGTGAGCTGTGATTATGCCACTGCACTCCAGCTTGGCGAACAGAGCAAGACTTTTAAAATATATATATATGTATATATATTCTCCTCTGTGTGTGTATTTACACACCTGAGCTGTAAAGTCACCTCATGGCTTCCCAGGGTGACTTCATTCTGTTGGTCAGTTTATTGGAACCTGCCACTTCTCTGATCCCTGTTTGAGCTTCCTTGATCTACTGGAGAGCAGACGGCAAGTGGGGGCAGTAACCCCCCTGCTGTGTACTCAACTTTCCAACCCTGGGCTGAGCTGCAGCTGAGACTAGCTGGGGGCTGGAACACTGCTTCCCCATCTTCCAATCTGAAAACAGTTTAGAGAATCACGAGTGAAGAAAACCGTTCACCAGGCCAGGAGTCCCACATTGCTTTTCAACGTGAATACTGCTTGTTGACATCATCCCAACCCATGGTGAACTACTTTGGTCTAAAAGAGGCTTGGCATTGGTCAACCCAGCACACTGGAGGTCACTGTCACAGGGGAATGAGACTGAGTCAGGGAAGCTCTCTTCAAGAGCGTGGAGGTTGGGGCAGAGTGGAAACGTGAGATGCAGGAGACCAGAACCAAAGGAGAGGACATGGGCTTGGGCAGAGAGGCTGTGGTCAGGAAAGCAAAAAAACCCAGAGGCAGCGAGAGAAGCTGAGCTGTTTAATCACCTCCTTGGCCAGACTCAAGGCGGTGGCTGTCCCTAAACAACACACCTTGGAAGCCACTGAGAGCAGCTGGAGATGGAGTGGCAGCTGGAGTCAGAGGGTGGGGGTGGGGAGGGAGGGCTCCTGCACCTCTGAGTGTCATCTGGCGCTCCTGCCCCCAGGGCCTGCTTCATCTCTGAGAGGTTCCTGGCTGGTCCCAGGGGCAGGAACCAGAAGGCAGAAGGCTCGTGCCCTCCCTGTGGCGGGAGAATGACCCTGAGGTGGGGCAGCCACTCCCCACATGGCCTATGTTGAGGGTGCAGCACTGTCCCCACCATGGTGAGGGACAGAGGCACAAGGCGGGGGCAAGAAGGGAGAAGTTGGCGGGGGTGGGAGAGGGGGTTGCCCGGGTTCCACCACCGGTCTGGAATTAAACAGCAGAAGAAAAGGGCTGCCCTTGGGAACATGAACTTGTCCCCAGTGACAGTTCCTAGTGATGGGCTGACCTTGGCAACAGACCCTAGCAGCAGGCAGTTGTCCTGACAAGAGGGTGGTCCTTGTCGACGGTCTCTGGCAGTTTCCTGAACAGAGGGAGGGAGCTGGCCTGGGACCTTGCCCTGCCGACTACTTGTTCTTCTTGAAGAAGCTGAAGCGTTTTTCTCGCTCTCGTTCCCTGCCGTCCTTGCTGCGGAGCACAACAGGCCCCTCAGCCCCGACAGGTGACACTGGGGGCATGGTCATGGCCCGGGTCATGCCCCGGGGGGCACTGGGCACCACCGGCTCTTCTGGCTCTCCAGAGGCAGAAGATGCAGTGGCAATGGCTGCGTTCACCACCCGTAGCCACGAGCTCATCTCTGCCTGTAGGACGGAAAGACCCTCGGTCAGCTTCAAGGACGCTGTGCTAGGGTGGCCGCAGTGGACAGCAGGGGAGCATAAGGAGGAAGAGAAAGCGAGCTGCTTCATGCCATTAGGGGAACGCGGCCGGCTTAGACAGGGAGCGCGGCCTGGTGTGGCCATCACACACATCTGGTTAGCACGCTGTCTTACCACAAAGGAGGAGACCAGGAAAAAAAGGGAGGACAGGGAAGGAAGGGAAGTCTGCAGCTGGAAGGTTCTGGAATGGCACGGACAGAGAGGATCACAGAGGACAGCTCACCTCATCCTTGGCCTGGAATAAATACTCTTTTCCATCCTGTAAGCTGTTGGGAGAGAGAGGCCACAGGGCAGAGCTGAGATTCCAGGTCTGCCAAGTTGCTGCTGGTGAGCGCGCAATCATGACCCGACCCTGGGCTGAGGCATCTGGCTGCAGCCCTCAGAGCTGGACCAGACACGCTCTGTACATTTTCCAGGCTCCCCGGACTGTGCAGAAGCACATCCTTTCTGACTGGCCACAGAGGTGTGGGGAGCTCACTTCTGCCCCAGCCTGGGCCTCCTGCTCCGGCTCCTTGCTGGAGGCAGGGACAGGCCCCTGGAGGTCCTACCACGTCCCTGCCTTTGGATTTCCCACCCTGGGTAATTTTTCACCTTGACGTCATCAGCCATCAGGACTGGATCTTAGTTCTCCTGCTCCCCTTGGTGGGGAGACAACCAGAATCCCCCGTCCCTCATCTACACCGTCTCCAAGTGGCTGGCCTGGTTACTCCACTCAGGGGCTCCTTATGGGAACACCCCTCCCTCTAGAACTGACTCATGGCTCATCTGTGTTCACTCCCAACTCCCCTCCCCATCCCAAGAGAACCGTTCCCTGTTCCTACCCCAGCTTGAAGACATGTTTGCGCTTTCGGTAATCAGAGGCAACACTGCCCTGGGCCCTGGCCAAGCTGACAGGCACTTCTCCATGGTATGGCACTCCCACGCTGGCTGCCTTGGCATCCTTGTAAAACCCAAGGCTCCCACGCCGCAGGACACAGTACACATTCTGCCAGGACCTGCGGGACATGGTGCTGACTGGCCGGCCTTGGTGGCACCTGCAACCTGGGGCCCTCTTGGGTGTCCTAGAACTTCCAGTTCTGCTCCCATCTTTAGGCCCATGGTCTTTACACCCTCTGGTCCTCCCCTAAGGTCCTGCTCTGATCGCAAGTCCTACCCCTTGCCCAGAAGACATACTCTAAAGGGCATCCCTCCCTCTACCTGGGCAGAGGTTCTAGGGAAGTCCCCTCAGAGGCCAGGCTCCGGAGGGGCAGTACCTGTTGGCAGCCTTCTTCCCGAAGGCCTCCATTTCCTGCTTGCGGCACAGCACCCCCTCCATCTGCTCCTGGGCAGACGGCTCTGGGGCTCTAGGCGGCAGGGTGGCAGCTGACTCGGTGGACCTGCTCTGGGGTATTGTAGGCGGGGCCGGGCCCCGAGTCTGGGTCTGCCTCTCTCCCCGGGGCCCATTGGCTTCGTCCCCTGGACCAGGTCCCTGGGGGAAGATCAGTGTCAGTGTCGAAGGATGGGATGCAAGATCCCTAACCTGGGTACCAGGAAGCTAGCTCCGTGTCCAGGAGTTGGTCTTCCTGCCCCCAGCTGCCTGTGAGCCTCTGCCCTCTCCCTTCCCATCCCCAGTACTCCCTTACCCCAGCTCACCACCCCTTTTGGTTCCTTTGCCTCCCAGTTAATGACACCCACACTTGCAGGGGAACTCACCTGCCCTTCAGGGAAGCTGCTCTGTTCAAGTTTCTGTTGTCCCAGCAGGGGCTGCAAGGACAAGAACCTGTAAGAGGATGTGTGGTGGGAGGGGGGCTATGGCTCCAATGGGGGCACAGGGGGACAGTGGGGTCACCTGTGAGGACTCTGCATCTGTGCAGACTCCATTTACACTGGGTGCTTGCGTGGATGGCGATGGCCGAGGCTGGGTTCTGGGATGACCAAAATCAACAGTCATTAGTCCCTGGGTGGCGTGGGCTCAGCCTCCTCCTCCTACCCCAGGCATCCTGGCTCTCACCCGTCCCAGGTGGTGTCAGGAGCTGTGTGGCTGCCCACCAGGTTCCCTGGAGGCACACCGGCTGTGGGTTCGGGAGCAGGCGGCTGCTTCCTCCGCTCCTCCTCCTCCCTCTTTCTCTTTCGCTCCTTCTCCCGCTCCTCTAGCTGTCAAAAAATGCTGCATTCAGCGTGTAGAAGGTCTCATGTAAGAGCGCCAGGGAGGCAGGGAGAGCTGAAGTCTCAACTTGCATTCGATGAAATATGATAAAAGGAGAACAGAACTCGAAAAGATGGTGGGGATAAGAAAGTGGGAGAGGGCGTCTCAGCATCACCCAGTGGAACTACACCTCCCAAAGGTGTGGGGACAACGGCACTCTCAGCTCACATCTGGGGGTTGCTGGTACAGTGGGAGCAGACAACGTGTCTTCTCCAAGCATGAGCAAGCATGAGTTGGGGGAGTGGGTTGGGGTGGGCATCTGGGGTCCTGTGTCCCTCACCGCGGTAAGCTTCTCCAGCGCACTGAATCGCTCCTCCCAGGCCACTGCCGACTTCTGGAAGGCCTCATGCCGCTTGATGAGGCTCTCCACTTCGTCGACCGTGCAACCCAGCTCAGCACTGCGCACCAGAGGCTCCTGGCTGCACAGCCAGGCCTCTGCCATCCCTGCGTCTCTTCCAAACACGAGCACCTCCAAAACTGGCGGGATCAGGGGTCACAGGAAGATGGTGGGTCAGAGTGGGCACAGGCAGGGCACAGTGGCCATGGCAACCTCAAGAACAGGGACACAGAGAAAGCTACTGCTCCAGAGCTGTGCCAGGCATCGCCAAGGTTGAGCATTGTGAGTTCCACACCCAAGGATCCTGGTCTCACCTACTTTGGAAACCACAGGGTGCAGAATGCCCCCCATTCCCCACAGGGCCTGGGGCCCCCTCAGCGGCTCACCCAGCTGAAGCCAGTCCATCTTCTCCTGCCACTTCTCAGCTGTCTCCTGGCGTCGTGCCTGCAGCTGAGATAGCTTCTCTGAGATCTGGGGTGGGCAGAGATGTGAGTTAGCACCAGGATGTGAGGTCCTTCCAGGGCCCCTGGGGAGTCATTCAGGAGGATAAATGATTTCTTTCTTTCATTTTCTTTCTTTTTTTGAGACAGAGTTTCCCTCTTGTCGCCCAAGCTGGAGTGAGATGGCATAATCTCAGCTTACTGCAACCTCTGCTTCCTGGGTGCAAGTGATTCTCCTGCCTCAGCCTCCTGAGTAGCTGGAATTACAGGTGCCCACCACCACGCTCAGCTAAGTTTTGTACTTTTAGTAGAGATGGGGTTTCACCATGTCGGCTAGGCTGGTCTCAAATTCCTGACCTCAAGTGATCTACCTGCCTAGGCCTCCCAAAGTGCTGTGATTACAAGCATGAGCCACAGCACCCAGCCCAGGACCAGTGATTTCTGATGTCAAGAGGCTGCCAGATCTGGGGAGAGATTTCCAGAATGTGGGAAACCCCTGAACAGCACTGAGGGGAGAGAATGAAATATTTCTTGCAAAGAGAGAATGAGAGGAAGGAGAAAGCCACCGAGAAGTCAGCGTTCAGCACTTTACAGTGAGGATGGCCCAGCCGCCCAGGCCTCACCCACCTCCTCGGCTGCATAGTGGCTCCTGGCCAGCAGCTCCTTCCCCATGTTGATGCAGGAGGAGAAGCGATCCGCCCGGGCCTCTATCTCTGCCTTGATGCCTTGCTGGTTCTTGATGACTAGATCCGCAGAGGACACATCCCTGGAGGAAGGCAGAAACAGCATCACCCCTCTGCCCATAGCCCCATCACCGCCCAGCCACACAACCCATGCAGGCCTTGGGTCCTGGGCTTCTCACCGGGGCCGCTCCTGGGCATCCATCTGCAGGTTGACCCCATCCATCCAGAGCATCAGTTCCCGCACAGCCTTGAAGAAGCGGAACTTGTCCGTGGTGTCCAGCAGCAGCTGCCGGCGGGCGGCAGAGCTTCCCTGAAGCTGGGCCCAGGCCTCCGCTACGGCCTGCATGTGGCGGCCGATCTCCTCGGCCTTGTCTCCAGCATAGGCCTTCTGGAGCCGGTGGCCGTCATCCTGCACCTGCTGGACCTGCGGGGCCCAGGGTCAAAGTCAGGCAGCGCGGGGGACTCCAAGGAGCTGCAGCCTGCCTCAGTCCTGGCTGCTGCTCTCACCTCCTGCCTGCCTCATAGCCAAAGAGGCAGGGGGAGGAGCCAGAGGGTGGGTGTGCAGGGAAAGATGAAGGCAGGTGCCTGGACACACTCTGTCCTATCAGGTCTCATCTGGGCACCTGGGCTTAACCGGGGGGAGGGTCTGGAAAAAGGCCATTGGCCAGCTGAACTTTTCAGAAGCCTGTCTAGGATGTGAAGGACCTTGGAGATTGCTAGAACGAGACACTTAGCCAGAAGAGGGGGTTCAGGCCAGGTTGGTGGGGGGTGGGGGTGGCTGATGGGTTTCAGTGGTTGAGGGAAGGATCCATGCTTATTGATTATGGGCCTAGAGCTCAAGCCTGGGAAGCACCAACAGGCAAATTCAGGGCAGCATGAAGAGTCTCCTGGCTGCTGGGAACCCCTGAAGACATCACTCTGAAGGGGGCTTGTCATTATAAGTGTGAATACATTAGATGTCCCCTGTTAGAGGTGTTCTTTTTTCTTCTTTTTTTTTGGAGATGGAGTTTCATTTTTGTTGCCCAGGCCGGAGTGCAATAGTGCTATCTCGGCTCACTGCAACCTCCGCCTCCCGGGTTCAAGTGATTCTCCTGCCTCAGCCTCCCAAGTAGCTGGGATCACAGGCATATGCCACCATGCTCAGCTAATTTTGTATTTTTAGTAGAGGTGGGGTTTTTCCATGTTAGTCAGGCTGATCCCAAACTCCCGACCTCAGGCAATCCGCCCGCCTCAGCCTCCCAAAGTGCTGGGATTACAGGCATGAGCCACTGTGCCAGGCCAACCAGAGATTTTTCTTGGTGCAATTTCTTCATCTCAAAATTGCCCTCCAAAGGGTGCCATCCTCCCAGCATTTCTAAGCACTGCCCTAGCTCCTGAGGGGCCTCCCCAGCATATCCCCCATGGCTTCCTCTAAGCCTCCCCCACCTCCTCATGCTTGGGTCAGACCTGGGCACTGAGGGCCTGGATGTCGTGCTCGTAGGCACAGTGTCGGCGCTGCAGGGCCTCGGCGGCGTTGAGGTCACGGCCAGTCCCGTCTGGAAGCTGCTGCTGCTTGTGCTGCACCCGTGCCAGGGCTTGTCGTGCCCCATGCAGAAAGCGCTGCAGCTCGTATGCCGCGGCCAGCACCTGACCCCGCGTGTCCAGCAACTCAAGGAGGTCAGCCCAGGCCTCGTTGAGACTGTCCTTCCACTCGGCCACAGTGGCCCGTGCGGCATGGCCCCCAGCAATGAGCCCATTGGCCAGAGCGTTGGCACTATCTACACGCTCCTGACCAATGGTGCTCGTGTCCCGGGAGAACTCTCGGAATTTGTCTCGGAGCATCTGGTAGAGGAAGCAGATGTACAGACCATACCATCATGCTGGGGGATGTGGTCCCCGCCTGATGGAGCAAGTCTTCTACTCCAAACTCAGAACCTACCTCTCTCCCCCGGCCAGGGGGCAGGATAGGTTTCTTCCCTTGGGTTAAGGAGCAGGCACAGCCGCTTTCCACTAACCCTGCATTTGATGGACTCCCTCCACCCTCAGCAAAGGTGTTTTGAGGTGCTTGGGACCCTTAGGCCTCAGACATGGATACCCTAACTATGGTCCATATTTCTGTACCACTGAGGGTCCAAGCCCCTGAACTGTGGTGGGGATCACACCCTGTTTTGTTGAATTCTGGTGAAAAAGCTTGAGTGATAATTTCCTATTTGCCCTTGCCGCAGCTCAGCTTCATGTCTCCTTTCTGTACAATTCTTCAAATTGTGTGTGTATATATATATTTAGAGAGGGGGTCTTGCACTGTTGCCCAGGCTGAAGTGCACTGGCAGGAGCACAGCTCACTGCAGTGTCGAACCCCCAGGCTCAAGAGATCCTCCCACCTCAGCCTCCTGAGTAGGTATGCCTACAGGCATGTACTGCCATGCTTGGCTAATGAAAAAAATTTTTTTTTCTAGAGATGGGGTCTCCCTGTGTTTCACAGGCTGGTCTTGAGCTCCTGGACTCAAGCGATCCTCCCACCTCGGCCTCCCAAAGTGCTAGTATTACAGGTGTGAGCCATTGTGTGGCCATCGTGCCCAGCCTCTTCAAATCACATACTTCCAAACCAGGAGGACAGTGCCTGCTCAGCCTGGTCTTGCCCGGTTCCCCCCAGTGCTCTGCCTAAAATGAGGTCCTAGTCTCCCCGTGGGTCCTCCGCTCTTCCCATGGTTGATCTGAGCTGGGTGCCCTCCCTGTACTCACAGTTACATGTTCGTAGTCCTGGCCCAGCTCGTGGGAGGCCGCCACCACCTCTCGCTCCTGGATCCACTGCTCCAGGTCATCCAGCTCACGGCGGAGCTGGCACAGCCGGAGGTGCTCCTGAAGGCGCTCCCGCCGCTCTCCGGCTAGCTCCTTCAGGCCAGCATACAGCTTGTCCACCTGGGCTTGGCGGATTGATATCCGTGTGCTGCAGAAGAGTTGGGGAGGCACCATGGGATTCAAGGGATGTAGCTCTAACCACCAGCCTGTTCTGTGGAGCCCTGTCCCTCTGAGTTTCCCAACAGCTTGCCCAATCTCTGAGCTCCGGCTTTCTAGAAGGCTCCGTGCACACAGCACTGAAGGCTCCACATTCCCTGCATCTTCCTGTTCCTGCAGCCGGCTCCTCCCCAAGGCTGAACCAGGCTGCCACTGTGCCCACCTCTCTGGGTGCTCGCGGTCAATCATGTCCTGGCTGCTGGCCGCCAGCTGGTGGATGGTCTGTGCGTAGTCAGCTAGGGCTTGCTCCAGCACCTGGTGCTTCTTCACCTCTGCCTGGGCACTCAGCTCATCCTGGGGGAAGGGACAGTGGGAGGGGACAGTGACATCAGGCAGTGGGTCAGGGGAGGGCAGAACTGGCCACACACCCCAGGGTCTGCCCTGGCCCTCACCTTGGCCTTCTCCTGGCCCATCATGTGTAACTCCTGCTCACCCATCCAGGCCTCTGCCTCAGCAGCATCGCGGTAGAACTGCTGGGCTCTCAGGGCCTCCTCAAGTCGCTTCCCTCGAAGTTCCAGCTCGTGGCCCAGGCGTTTCCACATTTCCTGCAGCTCAGCCAGCTCTGGGCCTGCCGCGGCTGAACCTAGCGCATGCTGCCGCTCCCTCAGGTCCGCGATCCGGGGCTCATGGCCTTGAATCTCTTTTTGCAGGGTCTGCCCACGGCCACAGAAGAGAAAATGCTGAAAGTCCTCCCCAGCCTCACATGCTCCCGGAGACCACGCTTCACCCCTGTGCCTCTCTCCTGCCTGGGTCCTCTGCTTCCTCTCCTAGCCCAGGAATGCGATGGTAATGCCCCTCAGCCCTCATTCTCTCCCACTGAGAGGACCCACCCTCCCAAGGAGGGAGGAGAGAGAGCCACTGAAGCCCAGGATTGCACTCAACATTGAGGTGGGGCCTGGTCTTAAAAAACACATGTCCAAGTCTGGGGAGGCTGCTGGGAACTTCTCTTTTGTCTTCAGTCTCTGCCTCACCTGGTTTTTCTTCATGAGAAGCTGGACACTGGGAAGGTCCTTGCCATGTTCCATGGAGCTGGCCATGGGCAGCCGCTCTGTCACCCACAACTGGAAGAGAAAGGGGGTCAGTGGAGGCCCAGAAGGCAAGGCAAGCACCAGGGACTGGTACTGGGAGTGGGGACACCTGGGGCTACTGCTGCATGTATAGGGGACAGTCATCTCTGGTTCTGGGGGACATCCCCAAGTCTCCCTAGAGGGGAGATTGTTAATGCCAAAGAGAAGAAGGAAAAGAGCCCTGCTGGCATCTCCACAGCATACAGGAGGGAGGCTGGAAAGCTTGCTGTCTTTGGCCTTGGTGACTCACAATCTCATCTTCCACGTCCCGGTGGAACTGGTGCTGCTCTCGAGAAGCCTGCAGGCGCTGGCAGCGTTCCCGCATGGGCTGGCACAAGGCCCTGAACTTCTCCTCCACGGCCCTCGAGGTCCTCTCCACCTCCCCTGCACCCTGGTCCTCCTGGGCCAGCGCTTTGGCCTGGGCCTGGATCGCCTCCACCTCCTTCTCTCTCACAGCCATCTCCCACTCCAGCATCTGCAACCGCGAGGAGGAAGGGCCTGTTAACTCTGCATTTCCGCCTTCACACCCAGCAGATACCAGTCTCTATCAAGCTCACTGTGACTGCTTGGCACTGTGGCTCACCCCAGGGAGAGCATCCCCTCATAGGCTGGATCAGTGGATCTCGAACTTTATATACACAAGAACCCAAGGGCAGGGGTTGAAAAAATCCCTATTGAGTACTGTGCTCCCTATCTGGGTGATGGGTTCAATTATACCCCAAACCTCAGCATCACACAATATATTCTTATAACAAACCTGCACACACATACCCGAATCTAAAAGATTGAAATAAAAAAATCCATGGTAGTTTGATAACACTGCCTGTTACCAATTGATGGTCTCATCCCCAATCCATCATGGCCCTGCTTTAGAGATATAGGAACTGGTCCCTGTGTAAACATTCCTCCTTTGCCAGTGGGCACAATGCTAGGCCTTGTCAGCAGAGGGCGGTGGAGGGACACCACAGTGCCTAGAGGATGAGGGGCGTTCCACCCTTCCAGCGTTACTTTTCTTCCTCCTACAGCTCAACTGTCAGTGCCCAGGAGATCCGGTGGCTGTCACTGTCTGGCAAGTTTTGCTGCACTCCAGTGGCCACTTCCTGCTGGCCAGCCTTGGTTTGCTGGCTTCAGACCTGCTCTGGCATGTGACACCCCAGAAAATTTCCAGGCCATTCAGTGGGTCTCTACCCTCTCTGAGGTCTGAGACTCAGCCATCTTGCTACTTCCTGGGGGACTCCTTGATCCCACAGGTAGCAGCTCTCCCTACACTTCCTATTCTGTTTTTTTTTTTTTTTTTTTTTGAGACGGAGTTTCGCTCTTGTCACCCAGGCTGGAGTGCAATGGCGCGATCTCGGCTCACCGCAACCTCCGCCTCCTGGGTTCAGGCAATTCTCCTGCCTCAGCCTCCTGAGTAGCTGGGATTACAGGCACGCGCCACCATGCCCAGCTAATTTTTTGTATTTTTTGTGGAGACGGGGTTTCACCATGTTGACCAGGTTGGTCTCGATCTCTCGACCTTGTGATCCACCCGCCTCGGCCTCCCAAAGTGCTGGGATTACAGGCTTGAGCCACCGCGCCCGGCCCATTTTTTTTTTTTTTTTTGACACAGAGTCTTGGTCTGTTGCCAGGCTGGAGCGCAGTGGTGCAATCTCGACTCACTTCAACCTCTGCATTCCGGGTTCAAGCAGTTTTTCCACCTCAGCCTCCCGAGTAGCTGGGACTACAGACATGTGCCACCAAACCCAGCTAATTTTTGTAGTTTTAGTAAAGATGGGGTTTCACCATGTTGGCCAGGATGGTCTTGATCTTTTGACCTCATGATCTGCCCACCTCGGCCTCCCAAAGTGCTGGGATTACAGGCGTGAGCCACTGTGCACAGCCCCCATTCTATATTCTTTAGATCAGGGACCAGCAAGTCCTGCTCACTGCCTATCTTTATAAAGTTTTTATTGGACCACAGCTGCACCTTTTTTTTTTTTTTGAGACAGAGTTTCACTCTTGTTACCCAGGCTGGAGTGCAATGGCGCGATCTCGGCTCACCGCGACCTCCACCCCCTGGGTTCAAGCAATTCTCCTGCCTCAGCCTCCTGAGTAGCTGGGATTACAGGCACGCGCCACCATGCCCAGCTAATTTTTTTTTTTTGTATTCTTAGTAGAGACAGGGTTTCACCATGTTGACCAGGATGGTCTCGATCTCTTGACCTCGTGATCCACCCGCCTCAGCCTCCCAAAGTGCTGGGATTACAGGCTTGAGCCACCGCGCCTGGCGTGCACCTCTTTTTAAAAAAATTTTTTGAGACAAGTCTTGTTCTACCCCCCAGCCTGGAGTGCAGTGGCACCATCACGGCCCCCTGTAGCTGCGACTTCCCAGGCTCAAGCAATCTTCTCACCTCAGCCTCCTGAGTAGCTGGGACTACAGGCACATGCCACCACCATGCCTGGCTAATTTTTGTATTTTTTGTGGGGATGGGGTTTCACCATGTTGCCCAGGCTGGTCTCAAACTCCTGGACTCAAGTGATCCGCCCACATCTGACTCCCAAAGTGCTGGGATTACAAGTGTGAACCACCATGCCTGGCCACAACCCTTATTTTACATATAATCCACAGGTGCTTTTACAAGGGCAAAGTTGAAGGGCTGTGACAGAGATCTTATGACCCACGAAACCCCAAATATTTACTATCTGGTGCTTTATTGAAAAAAATTTTCTGACCCCTGCTGTAGAGTTCTCTTTACCACCTTTTACTAATTCATACTTTTTTTTTTTTAATGGAATCTCACTCTGTCGCCCAGGCTAGAGTGTGATGGCACCATCACAGCTCACTGCAACCTCCACCTCCTGGGTTCAAGCCATTCCCCTGTCTCAGCCTCCCAAGTAGCTGGGATTACAGGCATGCACCACGACGCCTGGCTAGTTTTTGTATTTTTAGTAGAGACAGGGTTTCACCATGTTGGCCAGGCTGGTCTTGAACTCCTGACTTCAAGTGATCCACCTGCCTTGGCCTCCCAAAGTGCTGGGATTACAGTTGTGAGCCACCACGACTGGACTGATTAATACTTTTTACTGAAGTTCTTGTTTTCAAATTATTAGTGGGTCTGTCTCCTAACTCTAACCCTGACTGAGACATATACCTAGAGATTCTGATACTGGCTGCCCAGAGAAATGACTTTAGGAAATGCTGCTGAAGGTGTTATCTGCCAGGCCTTAGCTGGCCTCCCAAATCTTGAAAGCTGCAGACCCCTCCTTTCTTTTGCTGTTCACCATCCCCATCAAAGCTTCCCAGCACACCTGCTGCTTCTTGAGCAGGATGTTGACGCTGGTGAGGTCCTTGCCGTAGTCGTCTGAGTGAAGCTGGGCCTGCAGGCTCTCCAGCCAGCTCTCCAGGGCACAGCAGCTCTGGGCAAACAGCTCAGCTCGATTGGCATCAAAGAGGCTGCGGGCCTTGGCTTGGGTGGTGGTCTCCAGCTCGTCCCAGCGCCTGTGCAGGTCCCCCAGCTTCTCCGACACCAGAGCTTTCAGCTCTGGCTTCTGGAGAGTCAGCTCCCGCCCTTCCTGGAATGCAGGACAGAGAAGGTAAAAGTGCCCAAATTAGCCTGAACTGCAGAGGCTGAGAGCGGACCAGGGGCCTTACCGGCAGCAGAGACCTGAAGTGTGGGCAATAATTCCAAGTCCCTGTGTGTTCTCAGTGACACGCTCTTCTCAGAGGTTTAAAATCCGCCCCCCCTTTTTTTTTTGAGACGGAGTCTCGCTCGTTACCCAGGCTGGAGTGCAATGGCGCGATCTCAGCTCACCGCAACCTCCGCCTCCTGGGTTCAGGCAATTCTCCTGCCTCAGCCTCCTGAGTAGCTGGGATTACAGGCACGCGCCACCATGCCCAGCTAATTTTTTGTATTTTTAGTAGAGACGGGGTTTCACCATGTTGACCAGGATGGTCTTGATCTCTTGACCTCGTGATCCGCCCGCTTCGGCCTCCCAAAGTGCTGGGATTACAGGCTTGAGCCACCACGCCGGGCCTAAAATCCCTTTTAAACCGCTGTTCCCTCACTGCTGATGAACCCCACTCCTCAAGACCCAGCTCAAACAGCATTTCAACAAAGAAGCCCTTGCAATCTCTCTTTAGTCTGGGTTCCTCAGTGCCCGTGGCTTCTGGCGCTATGCTGCATGTTGATTTGAGTTATTTACTATTATTTTGTGTTTCTCAACTTACTACTCTTCACTTCAATGATAGCAAGTGAGTCCCACCTGGTTTCCCCACTTCCAGCTTTTCTGCTTGAGGATTTTTGTGTCTGAGACAGTGAGGGACATGTGCTCTCTTGAACTGCATGGAAGGCAAATTGGAAGAGCCAGAGTTAATGAACCCAGAAGCAGCCCTCAACCAGCAACAGACAAGGAGCTGCCGGATAAATACCCAGCATCCTTGCGCCATGGCTGAGAGTGCTGTGTTCTGTGTTCTATCTATACTATCCCTGGAGTGTCCCAGGAGGGTTGGGTTCCCATTGCCCATGGGGGTAACTGGCATGACTTCCGTCCCTCCTTACCATTCCACTACCCTACTGATGCTTCCCAGGATCACCTCCCTAGAACCACTGTCTCAGGGTCTGCTTCTAGGGGCACCCAGACACTGCCTTCTGGCCATTTTGCAGGTGGCTGTGGTTGTCAGGATGAAGAGCATCAAAGGCTAGCACTGCTTGGGCAGCTTCACAACCTTGAGCACAATCTACACTTCAAAGCACATGCATTGGTGGTCAGGGCTTTGCAGGGGGCTTCTCTCCCACCTCTCCCACCTTCCATGGGGGCCCTGCGCACAGTTTTTTTTTTTTTTTTTTTGGGAGTGCAATGGGATGATCTCGGCTCACTGCAACCTCTGCTCCCAGGTTCAAGCGATTCTCCTGTCTCAGCCTCCTGAATAGCTGAGACTACAGGCGTGCACCATCATGCCCAGCTAATTTTTTGTATTTTAGTAGAGATGGGGTTTCACCATGTTGCCCAGGCTGGTCTCAAACTCCTGAGCTCAAGCAATCCACCCACCTCGGCCTCCCAAAGTACTGGGTTTACAGGCATGAGCCACCATGCCTGGCCCCCCTGAACACATCCTGTGCTGCTGCCGGACTCACTCACCCCTTCCTCCCAAACAGGCATTGCCTAGCGTGATTTTCTGTTCAGTTTTCTCTGCCTGGAAGCATATTTCCCTGAGTATCTCCGCTTGTCCGAATTCTACTCATCCTCCATGGATGGCCCTGCATGTTCCAGCTTCTAGAATTTCTGTATCTCCTCTCTCCTTATTCCCCTGGCTTCAGTGGGCTCTCTCTCAGGGCACTCATCAGATTCTGCTCTAAATTCAATTTAGCTACGTGCGTATATGCCTCGTATCGTGGCTATAGCGTTGTTCATTTAGGGTGGAGCCTGCCATAGAATCACCTTTGGACCGATGCAGTGCCTGATACAATGCTTTGCATATAGTAGCACCAAGTAAACATTTGCTGAACTAACGGAAACAACTGAAAGCACACTGGTCTCCTTTTGTCCCAACCATCATGCCCTTGAGGGAAGAAAAGTGTCTTTCAGAGACCTCACAGTGCCTTGCAGAGGGTTGAGCACATACCATGTCCTCTAGGGATACTTGCTGAGCAGATATAAAGTTTTATCTGTCCTCAGCTCTTGAGGAAGAGCTGAGTGGGAGACCAAGAACCAGGGACAGCAAGAGTCAAAAATAAGGATTGGCAGACTACATACAGCCCATGAGGTAATCTGGCCCACTGCCTGTTTTTACAAGTAAAGTCTTATTAGAAAACATCCATGTTTATTCATTCACGTATTCTCTGTAGCTGCTTTTGCACTACAACTGCAGAGATAAGCAGTTGTAGCAGAAACTATATGGATTGCAAAGGCTCAAATATTGACCATCGAGCCCAAACCCTTTCCAGACAAAGTTTGCAGACCCTGTGGAGGAGCGTCATCCTGCTTTGAACTCAGGAACACGATAACTATCGTGTTAAATCCAAGCTGCAGTTTGGCTACCTACTAATTTGTATTTTATCAAGGTTCTGGACTCACTGTCCCACTCTGTCTCCAACAAAGATGTTTGTTTCCCAGGCCATAACTCCACCGTGGAGCTATGACACCAGAAGCCCCACAATCTCTAATGTCCTGGAGCCAAGCCCCTGCCCCCCACCCTGGGGGACCCTGCCCAGAGGCAGCCCCTACAGTACTGCTCACCTTGTCCACCTTGTCCAGCCAGTCTTTGTTGGCGGCCAGCTCAGCCATGAATGCCTGGTGCTTCTGCCACTTGGTGTGCAGGTTGCGGGCCTCATCATAGGACACATCCTGGGCTGTCAGCATCTTCTCATCAATCCAGAGCTTCAGCTGGACCAAACGTAAAACAGGGACAAAGGAGAGAGGGAGCATTTCCAAGGGAGGAAGAGCAGGAAATAAAAGCAGGGACACAGTGAGCCACAAGAAGTGGGCAGCTTGGGAGGAAGCCATGAAGGGATTCACGGTCTCCAGGGACCCCGAGGTGGGCTTATTCTAGGCTCAAGGTGGGAAAGGGATGGCTAGGGAATGTCCCGGGGCCCCAGGGAATGAGGAGCCTCACCTCATGACAATCTTGCAGAAAATGCTGCTGCTCCCGGTTGTCCCGAAGACGGCCCAGAAACTGCTGTGCTGCGTCTTGATTCTTCTTGTGCCTGCAACAACAGCCCCTTGTGAAACCCTAGAACTTGCTGTGAAAGGGTTCTGACCCTTTGGCTAACCGAGGGGCCTCCATTTCTTCTAGGAGAATAACGCCTTCCAGGAGCACAAAAAGGCTACCCAGGAATCCTGACTTACTTTTGGGCCTGGTCAGGGGTGGAACCTCCCAGCCCTCTGCAACCACTTGGGTCTTCCCCGTCTACTTCTCTGTCAGCTCCCGCCTGTCTGTGGCTTTCCTGTGCCACATGCATCTTTGAGGCTACCCTGTTTCCCCCATTCTCCTCTGGCGCCCCTAATTCATAGACGGTCCTCATCAGACCTCCTCTCGATGGAGTCTGCCTTCTCCCGAATCTTGTCAGCATGGATGTTGCCTTCAGACACCAGCTGGCGCCCAGCCTCCAGGAGCCCTCGGATCCGTTCCCCGTTGGCGTCCATGGTGCTCATGAAGTCCTCCAGTTTTTTAATGGCAGCATCAGCAGCCTGGAGTGTCCCTGGCATCTCCGTGTGAGACAGAACATATTCCTGTATGAGAGGGGTGATATTCAGTTCACTTTCCCCAGGACAATTCACCCCCTTCGTAAGGACCCAACCAGGGGCACGACTGAGAGGTAGGGGCCAATCTGTAGACGGGAAGGGTAGGTGGAGAGCTCTGAAGACAGGGAGGCTGCCAGCCAGCGTGGGAGTCTCAGAAAGTCACAGGGAAGCTGGGTGGGAGGACCTTCGATTTCCCAGCCCAAATCCTGTTCTATCTCACTTCTAGCTCCTGATTCCTTTTCTTTAACAGCTACATGACAAACTGGGTTTTCTATTTCTTCTGAAATCAGTTTTAGTAAATTATATCCACATTTTTTTTTCATTCCCATTTTTCTTTTCCTTTCCTTTTTCTTTTTTGAGACAGGGCCCAGGTTGGAGTACAGTGGCATGATCATAGCTCACTACAGCCTCAAAATCCTGGCTCAAGTGATTCTCCAGCCTCAGCCTCCCTAGTAGCTGGGACTATAGGCATGTACCACCATGCTCAGTTAATTTTGTGTGTGTTTAGCGATGGGGGTCTCACTATGTTGCCCAGGCTGGTCTCAAACTCCTGAGCTCAAGTTGTCTCCTGCCTTGGCCCAAAGTACTGGGATTACGGGTGTGAGCCATCCTGTCTGGCCCCCATTTTTCTTTTTAGAAAATTATTATTTTTTCTTTTTTTGAGACGGAGTTTTGCTCATTACCCAGGCTGGAGTACAATGGCGCAATCTCGGCTCACCGCAACCTCTGCCTCCTGAGTTCAAGCAATTCTCTTGCCTCAGCCTCCCGAGTAGCTAGGACTACCGGGGTGTGCCACCATGCCCAGCTAATTTTTCTATTTTTTAGAGACGGGGTTTCACCATGTTGACCAGGATGGTCTCTATCTCTTGGCCTCGTGATCCACCCGCCTCGGCCTCCCAAAGTGCTGGGATAGCCACCGTGCCTGGCCTATTTTTTCTTTAAAAAATTTTTTTGAAGAGACAAGGTCTTGCCATATTGCCCGGTTTGGTCTGAATATTCTTGGCCTCAAGAATGTCCAGAGGCCTCCCAAAGTGCTGGGATTTCAGGCGTGAACCACTGCGTGGCTCCATTTCACTAACATGTCCTTCCTGCCCATCCTGCTTCTTTTTTTGAGACGGAGTTTCACTCTTGTTACCCAGGCTGGAGTGCAAAGGCACGAGCTCGGCTCACTGCAACCTCCGCCTCTTGGGTTCAGGCAATTCTCCTGCCTCAGCCTCCTGAGTAGCTGGGATTACAGGCACGCGCCACCATGCCCAGCTAATTTTTTGTATTTTTAGTAGAGACGGGGTTTCACCATATTGACCAGGATGGTCTCGATCTCTTGACCTCATGATCCGCCCACCTCGGCCTCCCAAAGTGCTGGGATTACAGGCGTGAGCCACCGCGCCTGGCCCCATCCTGCTTCTTAAGCCCCAGCCTCTGGCATCTGCCTCTCCCTCCACCATGTTCCTTCACATTTCCCCAGGTCCCTACTTTCCTCTTCGTCCTGGTGGGGATGGTGCCCTGAAGTCTTACCTGGCTGCTGAGCACGCCCTCAGCCTGACGAGCATCCCGCAGGAATCCCTGGAAGCCGTGGGCCTGGGCCAGGCGGCCTTGTCGGCTCTCCCACATTCGGCCCAGCTCCTCCCAGCCGGTTCCCAGGGCCTCCAGTCGCTGTCGTAGGAAGAGGCACTGGGGATCGGCCTGGTCCCGGGTCACCTCCTCACCCAGGGCCCGCAGCCGGCTGTACTCGCTCTGGGCCCGCTCCACCTCTCCTCGCAGGGCTGCGTGTTGGGCCAGGAGGGCCTCTGCTTCAGGTAGGGTGGCCGGCCCTTCTTCAGAGGCCACAGCAGTCTGAGTGCGGCCTAGCCAGGCCTGGAAGTCATCCAAGCTTCGCAGGAAGTCCTGCAGCCGCCGCGCCTCCCCCAGGGACTCTTCTCGACGCCGCATGGTGGCCCTGAGGTCCTCCCAGCCGGTCTGTACCTCTCCGAGCCGGGAGTTAATGGCTGCTGCCTGAGCAGGATGGCCGGCAGCCAGGGCATTTGCCTCTCGAGTTAGTTCGCCCACCCGGGCAGCAATGGCCTCCAGGTCCCGCTCTGTGCCAGCCAGCTTGCGCTGCAGGGCCAGCACCCCGGCCAGATCGTTGCCTAGGCCCTGGGTGGACTCAATGACCTTGGTCTTCTCTCTCATCCAGGCCTGGGTCTCCGTGCACTCTAAGTGGTAGTTCTGGATGCTCAGGGCTGAGGTCAGAGCTGCCTTCTTGCCGTCTGCCAGGGACCGAAACTGCTGCCACCTGAGAGCAGGAGGAAGGCTCGGCCCTTGCCCAGGCCCAGGCCCAGGCCCAGGCCCAGGCCCAGGCCCAGGCCCACTTGGAAGCTTCTTCCCTGCTCCTGTCTCCCTTGGTGTCTCCCCTTGACTCCTCCCTTTCTAGCCAGCAGCCACTTCAGTCTACCTTGACCCCCTCTCTTGCCTCTTTCATCCTTTTTCCTTCCCCCACACATTTCGGACTGGTTTGCATCCTCCTTTTCAGCCACCCTTCCAGGCCTTACAAATCTTGCCTCCCACTGCTATCCCCATTGCTTCATGTTTTGGTCAGCTCCCCAGTCCTGCCCTCCCAAGCCCACCTGTGGTTAAGCTGTTCCTGGGTGTTGACAATGCGCTCCTTGCCTGGGGGGTTGGCCTTCAGTAACCGCTTGGCAGTGTCATTCACTGCAGTGATTTGCACTGCAAGGGCATTCATTTCAGGCTCCAGGGTCTCGAACCTGAGAGGGTGGAAGAGCCAGGCGTGAACTGTGGGAAGCAGCAATGTGCCCAGTCATTTAAGTCCACCTCTCTTAGACACCCTCGAGAACGCCTCTCCTTCACAAGGAGGCTTATCTATAGGAGTCTCTGGGCCTCTCAGCCTGTGAGGTTTATAGTATCTATGGGTCAAGGGAGGAACTCCCAACTCCCCCAAAACAAGTAGAATAACTATCATCGCTACAGTTGCTCAAAAGAGGTAAAACGTAAAAGTCAAGAACAGACACACAAGTCAAACTAGACCCTGGTGTGGGACCAACACTTTATCACATCATCTCAGCCTCCTGGGACTTGCCCCTTAGCTGCCTATCTGGGTCTTATCCCACTAATGTGTTAGAATATGAAGTAGTAACCAAAAATATTTGTCTAGGGGATGAATATGTGAAGGATAGCTTCTTCCAGGGACATTTTATATTTTGTTTTTGTTTTTGAGATGGGAGTCTCGCTCTGTTACCCAGGGTGCAGTGCAGTGGCGTGATCTTGGCTCACTGCAACCTCCGCCTCCCCGGTTTAAGCAATTCTCTGCCTTGGCTTCCTGAGTAGCTGGGATTACAGGTGCCCACCACCATGCCCAACTAATTTTTGTATTTTTTTTTTTTTTTTTTTTGAGACGGAGTTTCGCTCTTGTTACCCAGGCTGGAGGGCAATGGCGCGATCTCGGCTCACCGCAACCTCCGCCTCCTGGATTCAAGCAATTCTCCTGCCTCAGCCTCCTGAGTAGCTGGGATTACAGGCACACACCACCATGCCCAGCTAATTTTTTGTATTTTTAGTAGAGACGGGGTTTCACCTTGTTGACCAGGATGGTCTCGATCTCTCGACCTTGTTATCCACCCGCCTCGGCCTCCCAAAGTGCTGGGATTACAGGCTTGAGCCACCGCGCCCGGCCTTAATTTTTGTATTTTTAGTAGAGATGAGGTTTCACTCTCTTGGCCAGGCTGATCTTGAACTCCTGACCTCATAATCCACCCTCCTCAGCCTCCCAAAGTGCTGAGATTACAGGTGTGAGCCACTGCACCTGGCCAACATTTTATGTTCTAATAGGGCAGGGTCTGCAAATGTTTTCTGTAAAGGGCTCGATAGTAAATATTATAGGCTTCATGAGCCATGCAGCTGCTATGGCAAATTGAGTCCTGCTGCTGTAGCCTGAAAGCAGCCACAGGCAATACACAAATAGGCCAGTGCAGCTCTGTTCCAATAAAGCTTTATTTACAGAAACAGGCAGCAGCCTGGATTTGGCCCAAGGGTTATAGTTTGTCAACCTCTACATTAGGATACCTTGAAAACAAAAAAAATCTTTAATTATATTTTTATTTATTTAATTTATTTTTTTGAGACAGGGTCTTACTCTGTCACCCAGGCTGGAGTGCAGTGGCACGATCTTGGCTCACTGCAGCCTTGACCTCCGGGTTCAAGCAATCCTCCTACCTCAGCCTCCCCAGTAGCTGGGACTACAGGTGCCCACCACCATGCCCAGCTAATTTAAAATTTTTTTTTTGTAGAGATGGAGTCTTGCTATGTTGCCCAGGCTAGTTATGAATTCCTGGACTCAAGTGATCCTCCTGCCTTCACCTCCCAAAGTGCTGGGATTACAGGTGTGAGCCACCAGGCCCGACCTAATTACATTTTTTTAAACACCAGAAAATTTGATTACACATTGATCATACATCATATCAAGAAACTCCTAATTTTGACCTATGTGATAATGGTATTGTGGTTCTATAAAAAATATTTTAAGATTTATTGGCCGGGTGCGGTGGCTCACGCCTGTAATCCCAGCACTTTGGGAGGCCGAGGCGGGTGGATCACGAGGTCAGGAAATCGAGACCATCCTGGTCAACATGGTGAAACCCCGTCTCTACTAAAAATACAAAAATTAGCTGGGCATGGTGGCGCGTGCCTGTAATCCCAGCTACTCTGGAGGCTGAGGCAGAAGAATTGCTTGAACCCAGGAGGCGGAGGTTGCGGTGAGCCAAGATCGCGCCATTGCACTCCAGCCTGGGTAACAAGAGTGAAACTCCGTCTCAAAAAAAAAAAAAAATACTGACAAAGATTTATTGAATAAATGATTTTAAGATTTATTATTCTGTATATAAAGCTATTTCAGTGTCTCTGTCTAAAAGGTTTATAACTTCAAAACCTCAGCTATTTTAAGTCCACACAGACAATTTAAAAATAATATATTATAGGTACGAATGCTTCCTCGTATTTCTTAAAGGATGCACCGTGAAGAATGTAGGAGGGATGTGCTAATATTGGGGACTTGTTTTTTAAAAGGGCGGAGAATCAAATAGAGCAAGATATTGACAATGACCAAATCAGGGCCATGTGTGTAGAGGGGTTTGTTGTGAAATGTCTCTATTTGTGAGCATGGTTAACATTTTTCATTAAAACTAGAAACGGACCACCAGTAAGACTCAAAGAGGTGAGGTGGGCAGTTCATGGAGGGACTCACCACCCACAACCCGGCCCCCGCCGCCTCCCAGGGCCAGTCCCACTGGGAGCCCAAGGGGCCTACCTCTGTTGCACGACCTCCAGGTCTTCCAAGCGCTCAGGCAGGGCCAGCCCGTTGAGCCACTGCTCCTTCTCCTCCACCCAGAGCCCGCAGGCCCCGGCCTCACTGAGCATGGTGTAGAGCGTCAGGGCGGCCTCCAGGGCCAGTGCTCGCTCTCTTGCCCGGGCCTGCAGCTCATCGTAGTGCCGTTCCAGGGAGGGCACCCGGCCCTGCACCTCGGGCGTGTGGCTCAGTGCAGGAGGCAGGGCTACTGCCTGTTCTCTCAAGGCGTCCAGGGTTGGCCGGTGGCCTCGGATCTCCTCCTCCAGGGCCCGATGCTGCCTGGCCAGAGCCTGTGTGGAGAACTCGTCGTGCCCCAGCTCGGGGCTGGACACCAGGCGCAGGGCATCTACCAACCAGGCCTCCATGTCGTTTGCGTCAGCCTGGAACTGGTAGAGGCTGGCGGCTTGGGCCAGCCTCTGGGCACGCTCCTCGGCCAGGGCCTCTAGCCGCTCCCACTGGGCTTGGAGCTCAGCTGCACGGGCAGAGGCCTGGCTTGCTCCAGGGTGACCCTCGGCTACCAACTGCTGGCCCTGCTCCAGGGTGAGCTTCAGGGGCCCCAGCCGGCCGCTCATCTCGCCCCGCAGGGCTGTGTGCTTGTTGAGCAGGCGGAGGACACCGGTCAGGTCCCGGCCCGTGTCGGCTGAGGCCAGGAGGTGCTGCTGCTCCCGTACCCAGGCCTCAGCCTCGCCCACCTCCCAGAGGAAACGCCAGAGCCGCCGTGATTCCTCCAGCCGGGCCCGCCTCGCTGCTGCCAACTCACACAGCGCCTCATAGCTCTGCTCTAGTTTGGCCACCCGCTCCGACACCAGCTGCGGGTCACAAGGTCTATAATCTGAGAAAGTGACAGGAGAGGGTCAGAGTGGTAACTGAGCCCTCCAGCTGCTCACCACCCACTGCACTCTCTTGGGCTTCCCTCCCTGCCTCTAGCTCTGTCACCATCGTCTGCCCACCATCTTTCCTGTCTCCAGGTTTCCCAAGCCTTCCACCTGGGCTCTTGATGTACTCCCTCCCAGCCCCTCCCTCTCCAGGGCCTTCCCTGAGACTTTTCACCTTTCCCTGGGTTGCAGAAGCGCAGGGCAGAGGCACTGACGGCCCGCACCCTCTCGGCCTGCACGGCGATGTCTGCTTCTACCAGCTCGTGAAGCTGCAACAGGTCCTCCACTCCAGCCAGGTGCTTGCCCAGGTCCTGAGACTGCAGCCGGCCCTGCCAGGCACACATGGAGTGCAGATGCTCACCTGAGCATTCATGTGCCAACCTGGCTGCATCTTCCTTCCAACCTCTCCGTGGCTCTAGGTGTTGCAGCCAGTTGAGAAACCTGCTTGCTCACATACACTGGGATACCCCAGTTCTGCCCTGGCACCCCGACCTCCTTATCCTTAACTCCCCTGATGTGGAACAATGTTCCAACTCCTGCTCTTGGAAGTTTTGCTATGACTGATCTCAGCCTCAGAATCATCGACACCTTCCTGTCGCCACCGCTCCGCCTCAGCACCCAGCAGCCTTCCTTCTGCAGCTCTCCCCTACCTACCCTCCTGGCTGCTGCTCGCCTGGGAGATGGCAGCAACCTCTAACAGGTTTCATTCTCACGCTGCCTGCCCACGGGCCTTCTTCAGAGGAGCCAAAGTGACCTTTTTATAAACGTAAGGTACAATCAAGTCTCTCCCCTTCTCAAAACCTTCTAATCACTTTATTTTTTTTCTTTTTTTTTGTTTTTGTTTTTTTTGAGACAGAGTTTCACTCTTGTTACCCAGGCTGGAGTGCAATGGCGCGATCTTGGCTCACCGCAACCTCCGCCTCCTGGATTCAGGCAATTCTCCTGCCTCGGCCTCCTGAGTAGCTGGGATTACAGGCACGCGCCACCGTGCCCAGCTAATTTTTTGTATTTTTAGTAGAGACGGGGTTTCACCACGTTGATCAGGATGGTCTCGATCTCTTGACCTCGTGATCCACCCGCCTCGGCCTCCCAAAGTGCTGGAATTACAGGCGTGAGCCACCGTGCCCGGCGTTATTTTTTTTCTTGGCTCACTGTAACCGTCACCTTCAAGCGATTCTCCTTCCTCAGCCTCCCTGAGTAGCTGGGATTACAGGCACCTGCCACCACACCTGGCTATTTTTTGTATTTTGGTGGAGATGGGGTTTTGCCATGTTGGCCAGGTTGGTCTCGAACTCCTGACCTCAGGTGATGCACCTGCCTCGGCTCCCAAAGTGCTATGATTACAGGCGTAATCATACTGCGCCTGGCTCTTTTTAATTAATTATTTATTTGAGACTGAGTCTCGCTCTATCGCCCAGGCTAGAGTACAGTGACACAATCTCAGCTCACTGCAACCTCTGCCTCCTGGGTTCAAGTGATTCTCCTGTCTCAGCCTCCTGAGTAGTCTCAGAGACTACAGGCGCCCACCACCACGCCTGGCTAATTTTTGTATTTTTAGTGGACATGGGTTTCACTATGTTGGCCTGGCTGGTCTTGAACTCCTGATCTCAAGTAATCTGCCCGCCTCGGCCTCCCAAAGTGCTGGGATTCCAGGCATGAGCCACTGCGCCTGGCCCCTTTTAATCACTTTAAAGGATCCATGTTACTTGGATTAAAATCCAAACTCCCTGACCAGGCTGTAAGGCCCTAGTGGGCTGGCTGCACCGTCCCAAATCTCAGTCCACAGCCCCTACTCCTCGTGCTCACAGCCCACTGGCCTTCCTTCTGATCCTGAACACACCATGCTGGTCCAGGCTGAGGGCCTGTGCCGGGCTGTTCCTTCCACCCAGAATGTTCTCTCCTCACAGCTCCCGTGCTGGCTCCTGGCCACTATTCTGGTTTCGGCTTACATGGCATTTTCTCAGAGGCCTTGTCTGACCAGCCCCTCACACCACCCTGTTCCGGTTTCATCACTGGTTTTATGGCCCCTGCTCTTTTGTTTATAGAAAAGTCCGTGAGTTTTGTCATCAGCCTCCTCCATCTAGAACATGAACTCCATGAACTGGAGATGGGGCCCTGACTGGCTCATACTTCACAGAGATCAGCCGAGCAGACGAGCGAATGCACCACTATGGGGCTCCCTCGACTCTTGCTTACCCGTATCCCACCCGGCAGGCCGCACTGGTACCTTCATCTCTTCCATCCAGTCCATGAGGTAGAGCAGGTCCTGGAGCACCTTCTGCAGCTCCAGGTTGAGGAGGAGCCGCTCCCGCCGGGCAGCTACCATCTGCCGCAAGAAGTCCCAGAGCCGCGCCACGTTGTGCTGCCGAGCGGAGATGCGCTTGATGTCATGGTAGCGCTCGGCGGCCAGCTCTGCAGCCACAGCATCCACCGCCTGCACCCGGCCACTGTAGGCCACAATGTCCGTCTCGATGGCTTCATGCTTCCGCACTGCTGCCTCAACAGCCGCCAGCTCCAGCCCAAAGTTGTCCTGTGGCAGGGGCAGGGAGGGGAGGTGTGGGGACCAAGGGACAATGCTTCTGCCCGTTCCTCTGTCCCACAGGGCACTCAGGCTGCAAAATGCCAGCTCCACACGGTGGCTCTATGTTCCCTCTCTATTCCACCCCATCCTGTCTCACCAACCCTCTCTCGTCCCAGCCTCTGGCCCTTTGCTCACAGGCCTCTGGGCCTTTTTACCCACATGATGGATTTCGTGTTTCATTGTCCCCCTACCGCTTCCCTCAGGGCTTCTTATCCACCTTGTCTGTCTCCCAGTTCTGAGCAGCCTAAGCATCCCAAGAGCCTCGAGTCCTACCTGGGATACGAGGCGCTGGTTCTCGCTGAGCCAGGTCTCCCGCATAGCGGCCTTGCGGTCGAAGCGGGCGGCTAGCTGCTCTAGCTTCTCCTGGCGGATGAGCTCAGTGCGCAGGGCCAGCTCCCGCTCATGTTCCGCCTTCTCCAGCCGCTCCCAGGCCTGCGTGGTAGGGACAGGGTTAGTGGAAAGGACAGGGCGGGGAGGGTTCAGCAGGGCTGGAGGCACAGGGTAAGTCCCATGGAAGCTCCATCTGGTGGATCCATGGAATGCAATGGCTGAGACGCCTGTGTGTGGAAACAGGAAATGGCAGTGCTGGGAGTGAAGCCATGTAGAAGCTTCTGGAAAAGGGCTAAAGGAAGCAGGAGCAGTGGAAACCATCTAATTCTTTTGTGTTGGCAGGACTGTGCGTTAACCTTATTTTTACTTTTAGTAATCTTATAACATTGTGAAAAAAATAAAAGAAGGGATAGTGAGCTGGGGACAGGTTGAATAAGCTGAGGGACTTGGGGCATAATTTCCTTAAGTGACCTCATACGGAGAGTCAGACAAAGGGGCAAAGGGCCGTGTGCCTGAGAAGACAGGAGAATGACGTCTGGCACAGTGTGGGCAGCCAGGTGGAGTGTTTGAGTTTCAAGTTGGGGCAGCAGATAGCAGAGCTTGGTGAAGGTTGAGAAGGCCCTGGGTTTGGGGATGTGTGTGAGGCGTCTGGGCCAGGGGCTGCCCTGAGGGTGCGTGGCCTGTGGGTAACACGGACCTTGTTGATGTCTGAGATGAGCCGGCCCTCACGGGGTGTGTAGACCTTCTGGTTGTTGGCCCGGAGCTTGCTCTGGATGGTGAAGAGCAGCACTTCCAAGTTCCCTTTCTCGGTAAACCTGAGTCAGGAGGCCGGGTTGGGGTCAGAATTAAAGCCCACGAGGGTCACAAAGACTCTTTACTCTTCAAAATGGATGTCCTGTGTTGCCTTCCTTCTTACAAAAGCAATACAACCTCTTTGTGTGGAAGCCAGAAAATACTAATACTAGCAAACCAAAAGAACACCATTTTATTTGACTTTGAGATGGAGTCTTGCTTTGTCACCCAGGCTGGAGTGCAGTGGTGCGATCTGGGATCACTGCAACCTCTGCCTCCGGGTTCAAGTGATTCTCTTGCCTCAGCCTCCCAAGTAGCTGGAATTACAGGCATGCACTGCCACACCTGGCTAATTTTTGTATTTTTAGTAGAGACGGGGTTTCACCATGTTGGCCAGGCTGGTCTTGAACTCCTGACCTCAAGTGATCCACTCACCTTGGCCTCCCAAAGTGCTGGGATTACAGGCGCGAGCCACTGCACCCGGCCTAAATAATTCTTTTATAACCTATTTCCTCGCTTATTTTTCATGATCATCTTTCCATGTCAATAAATGCATTTCTTTAATATCCCTTTCAGTGGCTGGCCTGTGACTTATTTTTCTTTTACAGTGGTTGTGTTGGTGAACATCCTTGAAGCTATACCTTTGTTTAATGTGCGGAAGATGACTTCCTGGGTTAAAGGGTATACCTTAAATTATTCCTTGGAATGTACAGAAACAGTTGTTTCCTGGACTAATATTAGTTTCAGAGCTGAAATATATTAGCTCCAATAGAGCTCCATGACAGCATAAATGCAGACGTTTTGGCAGGTACTGAACAGAATTGCCTAAGAGCAATTACACACTTGGAACAGTTAATTGCTAAAATATAGAAATGATAAGAACCTCTGAAATTCTCATGTTACCAGCCATACCCACATTGCTGGTTGTGACTTTCCTGTCAGGTCCAGTCCCCTCTATCCCTACGCTGGGATTGGGTTACCATGACACTCCAATCAGTAATCTTATTTGATGAATTGCACTGGCTCAACACACCATAGCGATCATTTCCACAGCATAATTTTTTTTTTTTTTCTTTTTGAGACGGAGTCTTGCTCTGTCACCCAGGCTGGAGTAGAATGGTATGATGTCGGCTCACTGCAACCTCTATCTCCCAAGTTCAAATGATTCTCTTGTCTCAGCCTCCTGAGCAGCTGGGACTACAGGCATTTGCCACCATGCCCAGCTATTATTTTTGTATTCTTAGTAGACACAGGATTTTACAATGTTGGCCAGGCTGGTCTTGAACTCCCAACATCAGTAGAGATAGGGTTTCACCATGTTGGCCAGACTGGTTTCTGGTGATCCACTTGGCCTCCAAAAGTGCTGGGATTATAGGTGTGAGCTACCAAGCCCAGCCCGTAGCATGATATTTTTTTTTTTTTTTTGAGACGGAGTTTCGCTCTTGTTACCCAGGCTGGAGTGCAATGGTGTGATCTTGGCTCACCGCAACCTCCGCCTCCTGGGTTCAGGCAATTCTCTTGCCTCAGCCTCCTGAGTAGCTGGGATTACAGGCACGCGCCACCACGCCCAGCTAATTTTTTGTATTTTTAGTAGAGACAGGGTTTCACCATGTTGACCAGGATGGTCTCAATCCCTTGACCTCGTGATCCACCCACCTCGGCCTCCCAAAGTGCTGGGATTACAGGCTTGAGCCACCGCGCCCAGCCCGGCATGATTTTTAAGAATGGCTAATCATTAAAAAATTTTATTTTGTAACAAGTATGTTGTTTGGATGCTTCTGGCACGGATAATCTCTGCTGCATTCCTGTATTGCCAAATTTCCCTCCTGGAAGGCTGCCCTAATTTAGGCTTCCTCTTGTGGGAGCACAGTTTAGGGCAGGGTGGGGCCCAGGGGACACCTACTTGGGCGGCTTCTCCACAGTGCGGTAGGAATTGAAGGACTGCAGCTGGTTCTGGACCCCACTCAGGGAGTTGGCCAGCTGCCTGTCATTGAGGGTCACAATCGTTTGCTCGATCCACTGTAGCAGCTCGGAGGCCAGGGACTCGTACTTCTCCACCAGGCGCTCTGCCTCCATGGCGTGGTCCAGCACCTGTGAGACAGAAGACAGGGACATGGCAGGCCCAGCCACAAGGTCCCTGGCCCAGTCCTGCAGCTCTACCCTGCCCCTGCACTGGGGGAGTAAGACCCCTGGGCCGGGCCTCCGCTGGCTTTTACACCTACTGCTCATGGACAATACCTTGCCAATTCTCTTGCCTTCTACTGCCAGGGCCTTCATCTTGGAGAAGTAATGGTAGTAAGTAGCCACATAGGTAATGATTGACTTCTCATCTGGCTGGTCCACATTCACATCTGCAAGAGAGGACTATTCGGGTCAGGCCTCACTTACCCCAAACCTGGGGCCCGCCCAGTCCTGCAAGGCTGACATCTCTCCATCCCCTTTTAGAGCAAAATGACAACTCAGCCATTCAAATTAAAAGGGCACCAAAAAGCTCACCTTTTTTCCCCCTTCTCCTGGAAACAAGAAGGGCCCTCCAAGCAGAGCACAAACCCCAGAAGCACAAGAAGGCTTTTATCCAGAGTTCCCCATGGAGACAAAATTAGTTGTTTGGAGAAGAAAAGAAACAGCATTCCTATGTGGGGATGGATCACGGACTTTTAGGCTGGAACAATGTCTAAGATGTCAATGGAGGCCAGGTGTGGTGGCTCACACCTATAATACCAGCACTTTGGGAGGCTGAGGCAGGCAGATCACGAGGTCAGGAGTTTGAGACAATCCTGGCCAACATGGTAAAACCCCGTCTCTACTAAAAACACAAAAATTAGTTGGGCGTGGTGACATGCACCTGTAGTCCCAGTTACTCGGAAGGCAGAGGCAAGAGAATCACTTGAACCCAGGAGGTAGAGGTTGCAGTCAGCCGAGATCGTGCCACTGCACTCCAACCTGGCAACAGAGAGAAACTCTATTGCAAAAAAATAAAAAAAAGATGTCAATGGATTCAGGGGCAACAGAACAGAGGGTATGAACTAAGTCTCCTGAACTTAAGATGCTCAAGGCATTCGGGACTGTGATCCCCACAGCACAGTGGGGACAGAGGCCAGCTCTCAGCATCATTTCCAGGTGTGATCATGCCATATCTAACCTCAATCCCAAAACTCAGCTGTGGGCCCAAGGAGGGGAGTGTCTTTCAAGCTGATTAGCTTCCACCACACAACCGAGGCTGACCATGACCTGAAATCTGTGGGTTCTCTTAAACAGGCCAAATTTTATCCTAAAGGTAAGATTATGAGACCAGAAGCCTCTGCCCATTTCTGGAAACATGCAGGCAGGCAGAAGCCACTGAAGTCATCTCGGAAAGCTGCAGAACACTTATTTCCAGGTTCTGCATTACAGCCATGCTCCCCAGAGGCTCTCCAAGGAGCACTGCATGTAGTCTATGTCTGTCTGTCACTAGCTCACTGACACATGTCATTCTGGAATAAAAGGTCCCAGGTGATAGGACTACAGGTAGGATGGAAAACAGGGAGAAAATGGCCAACACCAAAAACCACCCACGGACTTTAAGGAGCACCTCCAGCAGAGGAGTCACCGGGTTCTTCTCTCCTCCCTATTCTGGCTGCACCAAGATTGGTCTCCACTCTCCCAGAGACAGCGGAGGAGACAGGCTGCCTGAATGCCAATCTCAGCTCCATCCGCCGGAGGACCTGGGCAAGTTGCTTACCCTTTATAGACCCCCATCTTCTCTTCTATAAACTAAGGATAACAACAATACTGATTTCAAAGGGGTATTGTGAAGATTAATTAAAGCATGTCAAGCGCAGAACCAGATACCGAATAAGAGCCCTGTTACTGATCTCATCAGCATTATGACCAGAAGCACAGGAACCAATCAGCAGGGTCAGCTGACCACAGGCCAGTTCTGGGTGAGAGTGCAAGGTCATAGAGCTTAAGTTTTTTTCTTAAAAATTGTTTTTAAAAAATAGAGACGAGTCGGCCGGGCACGGTGGCTCAAGCCTGTAATCCCAGCACTTTAGGAGGCCGAGGCGGGTGGATCACGAGGTCAAAAGATCGAGACCATCCTGGTCAACATGGTGAAACCCTGTCTCTACTAAAAATACAAAAAATTAGCTGGGCGTGGTGGCGCATGCCTGTAATCCCAGCTACTCAGGAGGCTGAGGCAGGAGAATTGCCTGAACCCAGGAGGCGGAGGTTGCGGTGAGCCGAGATCGCGCCATTGCACTCCAGCCTGGGTAACGAGAGCAAAACTCCGTCTCAAAAAAAAAAAAAAAAAAATAGAGACGAGTCTCACTGTTGCCCAGGCTGGAGTACAGTGGCTGTTGATAGGTATGATCTCACTACTGATCAGCATGAGAGTTTTGACCTGCTCCATTCTGAATGGACTGGTTCACTCCTCCTTAGACAACCTGGTGGTTGCCTGCTCCCAGGAAGTCACCAATGCTGAATGTAGTGTGGACACCTGATCAGCATAGCCCACTGCAGCCTAGAACTCCTGGGCTCAAGTGATCCTCCCCCATCAGCCTCCCTAGCAGCTAGGACTATAAGCAGGTGCCACCGTGTGGCCAGCAACATGTAGCTTAATTTAGAATCCTAGAATTTTAGAAGGGCTCTCAGAGACCAATTCTCTCTTTTAAGAGATGAGGGACCGGGTGTGGTGGCTCACGCCTGTAATCCCAGCACTTTGGGAGGATGAGGTGGGTGGATCATGAGGTGAGGAGATTGAGACCATCCTGGCTAACATGGTGAAACCTCATCTCTACTAAATATACAAAAACTTAGCTGGGCATGGTGGCATGTGCCTATAGTCCCAGCTACCCAGGAGGCTGAGGCAGGAGAATTGCTTGAACCCGGGAGGCGGAGGTTGCGGTGAGCCAAGATCGTGTCATTGCACAACAAGAGCGAAACGCTGTCTCAAAAAAAAAAAAAAAAAAAAAAGAAAAAAAAAGAGAGATGAGGAAACTGAGTCACAGAGAGGCTAGCCACTGGCTCCAAGCCACAAAGCTCCTCGGTGCTCTGCCTGGGATACAACCCATAGCCCAGGGCTCTTTCTGTCACTGGGCTGCCTTTCTTCCTACCTACAGCCTTTTTCCAAAAGAACTGAGAAATGATTTTCATACCATAAAATTCACCCTTTTAATGTATATAATTCAGAGGTTTTCAGTGTGGAAAAAAAAAATATATATGTATATATTTAGGGGGGCAGTAATGGGGTCTCACTGTGTTCCAGGCTACTCCTGGGCTCAAGCAATCCTCTTCCCTTGGCCTCCCAAAGTGCTGGGTGTGAGCTACCACGCCTGGCTGGTTTTTAGTATATTTACAAGGTTGTGTAACCATCACCACCATCTAATTCCAGAACATTTTCTTCCCCCAACAAAGCCGCCCCTGTATCAGTCGGTGGTCACTCCATGTCTTTCCTCCTCATCCCCTGGCAACCCCTGATCCACCTCCTGTGTCGACCCTGCCACCTCTTTTTCACATAGCTCTGGCCCCACCTTCAGGATCCAGCAGCTTGGTAAGTCCCAGCTCCTTTTCAGCTACATTAAATGCATTCTGCAGATTGTAGTGTGCATTACACTTCTTCAGGGACTCAAAATCCAGCAGGTCTGGCCTGGGTGGGGAGGCAAAACAGAAGGAATCAGAAACATCTGAGATCATAAAGAGGAAGGGGAAACCCACTCCAATCTTTATCCCTAAGTCACCGACCCAATTTTGTCCAGAAGTAGCATCCCAAACCCACACTGCTGCTCGCAGCCCCTCCCGGAACTGCCTCCCCTGCTTCCCATCACAGCGCTCTGTGCAGCCCTGCACCCCCACGTTCTGGTTCTGCTCCGAGCGCTGTTCCTTCCTTCTGACTGTTGTGCAGCTCAGCTCATCTCTGTCTACACATGTGCCCCCTAGGTCACTAGCCGACCCAGCACTCTGCTGCATCTGCTAACCCTATCTTCTCACCGGTGTTTATGCACGATGGCGTTGAAGGCTAGTCCATCTCTCCAGCTGGTGGTGAAGTTGTGTACATTGACGTTGGGATACCTATAAACAGAGATCCGGATAATGGTGAGTAGGGCCGAGCCCTGGTCTGACTCCAGGGCAGTCATCAGCTCATCGTTCCTGGAGCCTAGCACAGCCTTGGGGTCGCTGACCCTCCAGTACCTTATGCCCGGGACATCCTTACCCTGCGGTCTTCATCTGGCACCACAGAAGCAAGGCATCCTTGGCCGACTTCTTCTCCTTGTTGTCTTCTGTCTCCACACTGATGTCTTGGATCTAGGAAGGAAGCAAGCAGGGTCCTCACTCCCTGGACAGGAATTCCTGGTGTTATCAGAGATGCTCAGCTAAATGTCAGAAAATCGCTCTTTTGACTGTGGTAAGGCAAGGGACCACAAAACACTGGGTGCAAGAGATCTGAGGCAGCAGATTAGGGTAGGATGCTGGAGAATGGGTGTGCCCCTGAGTGGAAGGTGCTGGTTCCTCCAGGCAGGGAACTCTGCAGGCAGAGGAGTGAACATTTTCTGAGAGCCGGCTCTCCAAAGGGAAGCTGATAGAGCCGGGGATGGAAAGGGGTGATCGGGAACGCTGTGACGGCATGAGGATACTGGGGCATGGGAAGGAGGAGGGTGATTGTTCCACTGGGGGAGGCCAGCAGAGTTTATGGAAGGGGATTGGGGCTGGTGACCAGACCCTCTGAAGTTCCCAAACCCTCTGTGGTGAATGACCAGTTTGTAAAACTTCTAGTCCCTTGTGGACCAACCTGTAGTCCTATTGCCTATGACCAATATACAGACCAGCACAAGGGAACTTGCCATAGGGGTTTAACATTCACCCAGACTGGTTTCTACCCTGTTGAAGGAGGGGAGTCCACTGATCTGTGCTTGGATAGCGCCGCAATGGCAACTGCTACACAAGGTTCTAGATCCTTCGTCTTTGCGTTTGTTGTGTCATGGGCCAGCAGTAACAGTTTGCAGTGCAAAACCGATGCAGGAATCTCACCGTGTGACAGTGTGCTGGGGTACCTGGAATCGAAGGATGATGGTCCAGACCAGCCCAAGGGTCAGGCGGTGGTTTCCATCCACGATGTCATGGGAGCCCATGTTTTCCAAGTGCACTTTTTGCTCCTTGAGGAACTGCAGTGCCTTGTCCACGTTCTCCAGGCAGTGGATCCGCATGCGGCCCTTTGTGGGCTTTGGCTGTGGAGGGACGGGGGCGCGATGGCACGGGACTGTGGGTTTCTGCCTCCTTCCCCAGCCTTCCCAGGGCCTGGGTTTGCACACCTTCCCCATGACCTCCCTCAGTAACATGGGCACAGCCCCAGGGCTGGAGCCAAAGCTGAGGTTACAGATAAGGCTTGGGCAGATTAAGATTCCCAAGGGAATTAATTGCACCCAGAGTAGGTGGGAGAAGAAATGTTTTCAATGGGGCCACTGTTCCTGTCTCCATGAAGCAATGCTTCTACATAATCCAAGTGGCAAAGCCTCCTGAAATGATCCCATCCTCTGGGCAGAGGGAGCCACTGCTTCCCGCCCTGTGCTGGCACTCTGAGGGCTGTTTCCCCAGCTGGTTCCCTTGGCTACTTTTCTGAGGTCCCCTCTTCCCTTCCTGACCATGGCTCACCAGTGTCTCTCCTGAGAGCACCTCGAGGAGCCTCAGCAGGTTGCGCCCATCCCGGAGGTCACTGTACAGGTCCCCCACCCGGCACGTGACCCGGGCCAGGTGCGAGTTCACCCACTTGGTGAAGGTTTTCTTCTGCACGGCTTCTCGCTCATCTGTGGTGGCAACATGGGGTTATTTCTGTCCTTCGAGTTCAGTATGCCTGCTTCTAAACACCAGTTGGCAGGGGTGGGAAATGGGAAGTGAGGTCCTCTAAGGAGGAGGAAGGGAAGGAAGGTGACCGGGAGGAAAACCCGTAACTTTGAATGAGCTCATAAGCAAGGTAGAGAAGAAAGATGAAAGACAGAAAATAGGCTTTGAGAAGAAAGGATGAAGACATCGGAAGCCGTGGGACATGCAGGGAGGGGCTGGGACATGAATGAGTCGTGTAAGTGGTGGAACGCTGGTCAAGTGACTTCATCCATCAGAGCCCCAATGTCCTCATCTGTAAAATGGGAATGTTATTTTCTACTTCAATAGGTCATTGTGTTGATTGAATGAGATAAGATATATAAAACACCTAGTTGGTGCCTGGCACAAAATGGCTCCTTGGTGAATGGCTGTTATAAAGCAGTGTGATCTGACCTGAAGGAAAGCAAGAGCCGCCTGGGGCGGGTGGGAGGTATGGCTGTTCTCTTTTGGTTGCGGACAAAGGAGTGGGTGTGGGCTAAAATTATAGCAGCAGCTCTTCCAAGTGGTCATTAGGACTTGGCGGTATAGAGTCTGCAGGCCTCCTGAGTCAGCTTACTGTCCTTGGATAACTTAGAGAAAAGGCAGGCCCCTCTGCTTTGGGGGCTGGGGATGGTACATTCAGCTGGTTTCAAGGGGATCCAGTTCCAGGATGTAAATACCCCATTGCTCAGAAGAACAGGATGTTGAGAGTTGGGAATTGGGAAAACAGTGAGCCCAGGAAATATGAGGGGGAAAAGCCAGGCAGAGTTAGGCACCAACCTCCAAAAAAATTAGGCAATGCCCTGCTGCCCAGTCCACGGTGGCAGGGGGAGCTACTGAAGAGGGGAAGTAAGTATTAGAAAAATAAAAATTAAGAATATTCTAAGTGACAAAGTGAAGGCATCAGAAGCTGCTTTGGTGATGAGAATTTCTGCCACTTCCCCAGAGAGAGCCCTGTGCAAGGACCCAACCCAAGTGGCTGGGGTCTGAAGAGTCACTTTTGCTCCCATCTTAGCATCAGCATCTCAGAAACCGGAAAGACTCATCCCTTAATCTCACATTCCTAAACACCTCACCCATAAGACACAGCAACACACCCATGTCACTCCCTGTCTCTTACCTTCAGCCACTGTACTGGCACCAAACCTGGGGTCCTAGCAATGACGTGAGACAGCCCCATGTTCCCCAGCACCCATGAAACCAAGGGAGCCTTGGTGCTTCCTGGCAGGTCTGAGCCCGGGGGTGGGGGGCAGGGAGGGGAGCCTAGAACACAGGCCATTGCTAGATCCAGGGGACTGCCATGCGGCTGGGCACCCTGAGGTGAGGCCATTTTGGCACACAGGCAGAAGACACAGAAGTAGTGGCACCTAGAAGGACAATGGGCAAAGCCAAGCACCAGAAACAAAGTGTCACATCACAAGACGTCCACAGCATCCCTAGATCCTTACACACATACACAACAGTGACTCCCAGAAACACACCTAAGTGCTTGTGCCAGAGTGAACACACACCTGCTCAGACATCTACCTGGGCCTGTTTGCACAAATCCTCTCTCCTTCGAGACACTCCTCTCTGCTTCCAGACACACTGTATCCTTGCACACATTCAGATGCCTGCTCAGAAGCCCAGAAAACACCATCTCCAGGTCCCTGGGCCTGGCTCACTCCTCCTCCTCCCCTACCTGCCCTGGTGGGTGCTCTACTGACAGATCCAGATCTGCCTCAGAGGCACTGCTGGGGCCTCCCCGGTGCTGGCACCCCTGAGCCCCCTATGGCTGGTTGCCTTTGCTCCACGCAGCACCTCGAGGCCCGGCAGTCACACCCACCCACGTCATCATACACGGCCCCTGCCAGCGGGTCCAAGCCTTTCCCCATTCTGTTGACATCCGTGTATTTTCCGGCCTCTTGTAATTATCCCCTCTAAGCTGTATCACGTTGTCTCCCAACACAAACACTGGCATCACACCGTGTCCCGTGCAGGGTCCTCAGCTCCGGCCACTCTCGTCACACCCAGATCCCTGTCACCCAGGTTCAGCTGCCCCCACAGGGACCTTGGGCCTTACCTTGCAGCTGTTTGAAGCGTCCTTCCAGCACACTGGCATACTGAGCAGGGTTGATGAAAGCAGCTGGTGAGAGCAGGAGGCCCCCGGGATTCTGGGCCCCTTCCACAGCCTCATAATAAAATTCGCTGGCCCCATGAAGGCCATTCCCATGCACCCTGCTCACTCCATTCCCATTCATGCTGCCAACTGCTGGCTACAGAGCCCAGGGCCCAGAGTCCATGCTCCCTGTAGGCAGGGGGCCAGTTTCTGTTCCCCAGTGGGACCTCAGGCTGGAGTCCAGGGTCAGAATTTGGGAATGGTGGGAATTTCAAGGAGTGGCAAAAGGAGCTACGGGATGTCCCAAGCTCCTGAGACAGTGAGTGGGGCACACCTGGCTGTGGCGAGAGGAGACGGAGGCGGCTCCAGACAAACAGGTTGGACGGTATTGGGGAGGGGAGGGAGGTGGAGCGTGGCCAGCGGGGCAGGGCCAGGCCCTGCGGGGCGGCGGCAGAGGGCACTGGAGCACCTCCGACACCCGCCCTTCAAGCCCCAAGTTACTTAAGAATACTCAAGATCCACGAGGGGTCCCCCAATGCAAACTCCTGTTTCCCAAAGGTTTGCAGGTATGTCGAGGGCAACCTCACTCTGGCTGACTGGGAGGTCATTCTCCAGGACCTGTGAGCTTTGAGTCCCAGCTCAGAAACAGACAAAGAGGAATCTGGAAACGAGGAGATCCTTGAAGAGGAAAAGGCAGGCACTGTGTGAGGCATTTTCTTTCACTCCCTCGCCTGTGAAATGGGCACTGTTACCATCCTTTCCACTTGTTTATCACCACCTCCAGTGCCAGCCCCTGCCCTGCCCTCCAGCTCCCCAGGGCCCTCCTCCACCAGGCCATCCTGGCCCCCAGACACCCTGCTGCTGGGCACATCTTCCAGGTGCCCTTCTACCTCACTCTGGGCTTCAGCACTTGTCATGTGCAGCCCACACTTGCCCCTCCCCATTTTCATTCATTCAGTGTTTATTTGATACCTACTGGTTGGAGGCACAGTGCTAGGCAAAACCCATGCAGAGCTGCCTCTTTGAGAGCCCAGTTTAGTGATGGAGATAAACACCCAATGAGAGCACGAGGTGGCACAGAGGTGTGCACAGACCCGGTGACAGCCCTGGGTGGCACGTGTTATATGCAACCAGACATGGTGACAGTCCTGGGTGGTATGTGTCCCATGTACACAGGCATGGTGACAGTCCTAGGTGGCATGTGTCCTATGTACACAGGCATGGTGACAGTCCTGGGTGGCACGTATCCTGTGCCCAGGCATGATGACAATCCCGGGTGGCACTTGTCACATGTGCAGACATGGTGGGTGGCACATGTTGTACACACATAGACATGATGACAGTTCTAGAGGCTATGAATTCAAAACCAGGGTGCCAGGAACACTTCCTCCAAAGACATGACATTCTCCATAACACACACCTTCTGTCTTCTCTGATCTATAGACACACTAAAAGGAGTGTTTCACAGCTGGCCTGAAGACCCAACCAGAACGACAGAGAGGCCCAGGAGAAAATGGGAAGGGGTCTGGGGAAGCTATGGCTGCCACAAGGGGGTCCTCAGACTGGTGCTGAGCTGGCTCAAAAGAATCACCTGGGGAGCTTTTGAAATCCTGAGTTCTGGACCAAGATTCTAACTCACTGTGTCTAGGGAGGGGCTTAGAAACCTGTATTTGTGAAAAATATCCCTGGGTGATCCTGTAAAACATGTGGGCAGGTTTGGGAACCACCCCCTTGGAGTCTCTCCTCTTCTAGGGGCCAACCCCACCGCCACTGGGAGCACCACCTCTTGGTGAGAGTAGGTGGGGCCTCTTAGACTGGGCTTGGCTGGGCTGGGCTGGGTGGCCAGCAGGTTAATGGCAATGACAAGGGTGGGATGGAGGAGGAAGCCAGACGGGGTGGGTGGCCTTGGGGTGTGTGCGTGACTCAGCCCCACGCCAGCCACTGGTGGTGTCAGGTGGCAGCCGCGCTCTTGTTGCCATGACAACTCCTCCCCCGGAAGACAGGGAGGCCGTCCGACAAGTTTCTGCTCAGAGCAGGACAGCCCAGGCCCCAGGCCCCAGGCCGAAGGGAAGGGTAGGGGCCAAGCCAGGCAGTGAGCACACCTGGGAGAAAAGGCGGCAGCTGCAGAACAGCAGCCGGTGGAGGGAACCTGCTTCAGGGACCATGCAGATGAGATAATGGGAGTAACAGGCGGCAGGTGGAAGGAACAGGTGGGGAAGGAGAGGAGGGATAATAGGCTGGGAACAGGTGTGGGAAATGACAGTGGAAATCAAGGAAGACATAACAAGGGCATGAAAGGTAAGGGAGAGGTGGGCGGAGACAGGAGTGGCAAGAGTGAGAGTGCAGAAAAATGAAGGGACATGACCTGGGGGCTGAGGCCAGAGACAGAAGCTGTTTTAGTCAGCTCCGCCAGTCCAGGAGTCAGTGCAGCATCTCTATGCTTGCAGGAAGGGGCTGAGGAAGGTTCTGAATGGCAGGAAGGCTGTTCTTGAGGCTGGATTTGGGGACCAGGGACTTGATAGGGTGCTCTGGGTCTCCCACTTAGAAAAGTCAGTCTTCCCATAAAGTTAAAGAGCTCTTCATAACAAGCTGACAAAGCCTCCTCCAGCATCCCCACCGCCCCGGCTGTCCCCTAACCTTACCTGCCAGGGCCTTAATGCGTGACCTCTCAAAGAGGCGGGCCGAGCTGCTGTCATTGTCCCAGTCTGAGTCAGGAAGGTCCCAGCGGTTGTTGATGTCACTGTACTGGCCCTGGATCTCCAAGCTGTCAAAGTCTGTGGGTGACAGAGTGCTGCTCATGGTGATGGGTGGCTTCCTGCTCCTGCAAGGAGAATGTGGCTGGTGAGGGGCGTCCGGGGACCACCAAGCCCTCCCCCCACCACCAGATCCTTCTGTTTTCCTGCCCTACCTGTGCCCTGTTCTCCTTGTGGCCAGAGGCTGTGGTTGGTTGCCTGGTAGAAATCAGCCCCCAGGGGGAGAGGGGAAGCCACTGGAGAAGCCTGGGGACAGGAATGCATCAGAGGCACAGAAAGTGAAGCAGGAAGGAAGCTCAGAGCAATGCAGTGGGCAAGAAAGGATCCAAGGGCCTCAGGCCACAGAGGGAGAGGTTGGGGGGGTGCTGAAAGGAGTAGTGGGCTTTAGTGCTTCAGACCGCAGTGTGCAGCCCAGGGTAATGCAGGCAGCACATATGAGGCCCCTTGGGCAAAAATGACCAGTAAGTGGCACTCCTTCCTTCTACAAACTGTCCCGAGCCCGTGATCAGCCCAAGATGGCCTCCTATACCATGTAGGCAATTTGAGATGAAAAGACCCAGATTCTGCTCTTGAGCTAAGAGAAAGCTATGATACACCAGTAAGACCGATGCACTGTTTGGCAAGTATGGATATACCAGGAAGATTGAGGCGCTGTTTGGCAAGTGCCCAGGAGTTCAGAGGAGGACACAGTATGGTTCTCTCCCCTTTGTTTCCTTTGGTTTGCCAGAGAGAATGTTAGTACATACTCAATAAATGTCAGCAGTGACATGTCCCTGCCATTGACATGCATCATCCCACCATAACTTCCTACGGGGTGAGAGCCCACTGTCATCTCTGTTTTACAGATGAGGAAGTGGCACAAAAGACATTAAGCTGGCCAGGAACAGTGGCTCACGCCTGTAATCCCAGCACTTTGGGAGGTTGGGACAGGAGAATCGCTTGAACTCGGGAGGCAGAGGCTGCAGTGAGCTAAGACTGTGCCATTCCGCTCCAGCCTGAGTGAGACAGAGTGAGACTCCACCTCAGGAAAAAAAAAGACATTAAGTTACTGAGGTCACGCAGCTGGAAGAAACAGTGCTGGGTTTTGAAAAGTTCTTTTTGACTCTGGGAGACATGTTCTTTTTTTTTTTTTTTTTTTTGAGATGGAGTTTCGCTCTTGTTACCCAGGCTGGAGTGCAATGGCTCGATCTCGGCTCACCTCAACCTCCGAGGCCTCCTGGGTTCAAGCAATTCTCCTGCCTCAGCCTCCCTAGTAGCTGGGAATACAGGTGTGCGCCACCATGCCCAGCTAATTTTTGTATTTTTAGTAGACAGGGTTTCACCATGTTGACCAGGATGGTCTCGATCTCTTGACCTCGTGATCCACCCGCCTCGGCCTCCCAAAGTGCTGGGATTACAGGCGTGAGCCACCGCGCCCGGCATGGGAGACGTGTTCTTAATCGCAGCCTCTTGGACAGAGAACATACATCATTTGCTCAACCATCCTGGAGGCCTTTAGTGCTCCCCAGATGGATGAGCAGCCATGGCTCCCGTCTAGGGCCCAGGCTGGGGAAATGTGGACCACGCAGGCTCACCAACACCAGCACTACTTCCGGCTCTAACTTATGCAAACACACTCTGTCCTCAAAACTAACAAATGAGGTTCAGAATAGCTGCTGTGGATTAAAAAAAAAAAAAAAAACCCTCTGCTGTCCAAAGTTCTTGTGTAATTCAGCATTCAGCAGCCATTCAAGAGAAAGAAGAGGGGACTGGGTCTGTAACTTTAACAAAACTGCCAATTCTGCATTTCTTCCCAGCCCTACTTCCTAGAACCAGGTCTGCAGTCTTGGCAGTCTCTGGTTCTGGAAAGGAAGGAGGTACGGAGAAGAGAGAAGTGATGGGTTGGTTGGTGAGACTCAGGTAGGTGGTAAGACCCATGGGCACACAAAGGCAGAACCTGGCTTCCATCATTAACTGGTTCCATGAAGCTGAACCTGACCTGCTTGAAGGCCATGGTTGTGTGCCCCTCCTCTTTCTCCTAAAGAGAAAATGTGTGCAAGGATTTTTCTTGGGAGGAGCATTAATGAGCTGCAAGGGAGCTAAGGTCTAAGGTTTGTAGATTTGGCCTTTAAATTCCCTGTAGAAGGAAAGGGAGCTTAATTTCTACTAACCCTGGGACTCTTCTCATTCAAAATCCACCATTTCTCCCCACAGATTCTCTGGATTTGTTCTGTAAATATTTATATAAAAATACATTCTAGGGCAGAGTTGAATCACCCTGAGCAAAGAATGCTGCGGGCAAGGCATGACCTGAACTAGAATCATCTAATAGTCTCAGCTGCTAGATGGGAAAGTAGTCCACACCTCAGGACCAAGTCTAATTCCACTTCCTCTGATTAGTGCTTCCTAACTGGCAGCCATACTTATGCTCAGCCCTGAGATGGACATCGCCAGCACTCAAACTCTTCCTGCACAGACCTGCCCACAAAAACGCCTACACCCAAGTCCCGCCCTGCTCCCACTTCGGTTTCCATGACCCCTTTTTCTTTTACCAGGAGTCACAAACTTACCAAGGCTAGCACCCAGGAGTGTTTTGCTGGGCCAATAAGCTATTTTTAAATGACTGACTTTTTGGCCGGGTGCAGAGGCTCACGTCTGTAATCCCAGCACTTTGGAAGGTCAAGGCGGGTGGATCACCTGAGGTCAAGAGTTCGAGAGCAGCCTGACCAGTAAGGCAAAACGCTATTTCTATTAAACATACAAAAAATCAGCTGGGCATGGTAGCAGGTTCTTGTTGTCCCAGTTACTTAAGAGGCTGAGACAGGCAAATTGCTTGAACCTGGGAGAAGGAGGTTGCAGTGAGCCGAGATTGTGCCACTGTACTCCAGCCCAGGCCACAGAGTGAAACTTGTCTCAAAAGAAAAAAAGACTGATTTTGGATTCCTTATGTGGGTCTGCACTATCTCTCTACAGGCCCGGCCACTTCACTTACCTATGTTACCTCCCTGGCCCTAAATGCTGAGGTTTGCACACCCTGCCTCCTATCTTTGTATTTCACAAAGAGCAGAAACTCAAAGAAGCTAACCATCTGATGCTGTCTCCAAACTACAGTATCTCTGAGGCCCCTGTAAGCTGCACAGAACCTAAACATGACTGCTTTGGCTTATTTTGGGGGCTCCAACTTGGTCCTCCCAAGGGAAGGGGGAGACAACCCTGGCCTTCAAGCAGGTCAGGTTCAGCTTCATGGAACCAGTGAATGATGGAAGCCAGGTTCTGCCTTCCTGTGTCCATGGGCACACACCTCCCTACCAACCCAAGCCTCACCACCCATCACTTCTCTCTTTTCCATACCTCCTTCCTTTCCACAACCAGAAACTGCCAAGACCACAGCCCTGGTCCTAGGAAGTAGGGCTCAGGAGAAATGCAGAATTGGGGGTTTTGTTCAAGTTACAAAGGGGTCTAACTGGGGGTGAGACCCTCCTGGGAAGTCCAACTGTTAGAATGTCTCTGTGGATTCCTGCCATTACCAGGAGAAAGTATGGAGCTAGAACCTCCCCTTCCCCCAAATAAAAACTCAGCCACTTAAATGCTCCTCTCCCCAAACTGAGTTTGAAGCATACATGCAGTGTGTCCTGAGTTTTCAGAATGCTGTGATATGTGTAAGGAACCAAGCTGGTATTGGTGTCCTTAGATCACAGATCCCCACAGGGCCACCATGTTGAGACTCCAGGGGGTTTGTTCCCACAGCCTTCCATGTGAATGGGGCTCTCTGGCATTGTTCAGCATGTGGCTTTGAGGCTCTGCTATCTCTGTGTCTCTAGGTCTTAGTTTCCGAGCATTCTGGCTCTGCAGTTCCCTGGCCTTTTGGACAATATGCTGTGTTCTCAGCTTGTATCCCCTGCAGCCATCTCTAGATTCCCACTGATTTCTATTTGTGTGTCTCCTGCTCAGATCCAGCGCTGGTTTCTTGCCACTGAGCAGATCATTCCTCAACTATGACCTGGGTCTCCATGCTCACACTTCCTCAGTCTGCCAGCAGCCCCCAGCTTCATGACCCCCTGCCTCTCTTGAAGCCAGAGAATCCTCAATTGTCCTCTCTTCCTCGGATTCCTGAAGTCTGGCAACAGGGCGGTGCAGTAGCTAATCCAGATTACAGTCTCATCATACCTTATTCTTAGCCATTGACCTCAAGGCCAGGCCCAAGTAGCTTACACCGTTAGTGCTAGAATAACGCCAACTCCTGCCAGCTGCAGGCTTGGGGGCCTGCTGGAAGTGACGCCAGGTGCTGCTGGAGGCCGACAAGGCCCACGCGTGCCGATCCTCCGGGGCAGCTTTCCTCTCTTTCAGCTGACATGTTAAGCTAGAAATCCTATACCCTGGGCTAGAGGCTGCCTTGTACCCAAATTCCTCCTCTCACCACATCCTGCTCCTGATGAATTTTTTCTCTCCCTCAGAGATGATCATTCCCTCCTCTGTGCTCCCAGAGCACTTCGGCATGCAGCTAGTATTGTACTTATCACATCGCATTACCATTACTTGTTTACGTGTCCCTCTGCCCGCTCCACATTTAACTCATTGAGGACAAGGGCTGTCTTACTTCTTTTGGTGTTTTTACAGACTCAGCACAATAGATATTCAATCAAGAGATACTGAATGACTTGACTATAATTCAGTTTTCGGGCCATTGAATTAATGTCTTTCTTAGGACTAGAGAGAAGCTCAAGGAAAGAATGAACACAGGATGGGAGAAGACCAGCTCCTTGGCTGGAGTACTTTCAGGGTTAACGGTAACAGCACAAGACCGGGGATTCTCAAACCTCCATGAATCACAACAACCTGGAGGACTGTGAAATCACTGGTCACTCCCCCGACCCCCTAGTTTCTGATTCAGTAGTTC